TTTTTCACTTTCTAAACTAGAAGGTGTTATTTATGCCTTTTGCCATTGTATCCCATACTGTGCTCTTTATCTCTCAATAATCTGGCTATTAACAGAATTTTGACTTTTTTTTCTCTACATGAAGAGAGAAGCTTAAAATGGAATTAATACTAAAGAAAGAATGAAAAGGTCAAGCAGGTTTCAGGTTTGGTATTCAGATACAGATATCACTAAGTCCAATTAGAAAAGAGCAGAAAGTCCATTACTGTCTCAGTTTTGTGAAATAGAAGAACAATATTTCAGTCCAATCATCAGTTAGTGAACATGTATCTCTTTTGAAGTGACCACAAAAAAAAATCCAGTAAAGTTGACATTCTAACATGCATTTATTGGCCTGAACTTTTTTTGAAGCTGAGCCACCCTTCTGCCAGGTGTCAGCTGGAGAAGGTATGCAAGAGAAATGACCATTTCCTGCTTTCTGTGGGTTTAAAACAATTCTTTCATCTGGAGGTGATCTAATGCCTTTCACTGGCATCAAAATCACCTTAAACAAAAACATGTCCCTTTTTTTAAAGAATATGCTGTGTGTACAATGTGCTCTTCCAGAGAAATGAAGTATTAGCATTTGAAAGGACAGATGAGAATGCGTATTTTGGAAACACCTTTGTTCAGAGAATTGCCTCTATATTCTATGTGCATATCACCATGGTAATTGAAATATTTGCCACTGATGAGAAGGTATACAGCACAAGCCTTTTGCCATTTCCCATGATGTGGTTTCTAGCAAAGAGTGCTATTTGTCAGTTTAAAATTTATGGTAGGATATTTAGCAGTTGTGCCTACTGTCATAGAGATGGATGTGGTTTGAAAGCATGAAACAAAAAGGAACATCTTCTTGCAGTTTAATATTCTTCCCCATTTCCACTTAAAATGTGAGCCATTCTGGAACTGCTGGAGCCACAAAGCAAAACCAAAGCTGTGCTCTCTGCGTGGCTTTGTCAATTAGGATGCTGGTAACATGAAACAGTTTATTCCTTTCTTGCTGTCATCACTGCTTTTGGGACATTGTTGCAAACAAAACAAGCCTGTCTCTTCCCTGAGGTCATTTCATGCATGTGAACTCTGTGAAGGGTGTAGCAGCCACTGAGTACTGTGTGAAGGTTTATGTAAGGGAATTACATGATGAATCTTATGAAGGCATATAGGATACACATTTGCTCAACAGGGATATCCTTGAGGAACCTCATTAAACATGACTCACTTAACAGAGAGAAAAAAAATCTCAAATGCTTGGACTCACTACCATGTGTGTACATCTTTCATTTGAAATAGTATTCTGTAGGAAAAGGTGCAGTATAGGTATCATGGTGAGTAGTACTGCTTAGTGAACTGCTCAGGATACAAAAGGGATGGTACTCTTTTTCACTCTGTCGTGCTGTGGCCGATTGTCATCTCTAGTTTTCTGTTCCTCAAAGTAAATCCAGCTCTCCAGAAAAATGTCTGGCTTTGTGTTGTCCTCGCCACTTAAGAACAGGGGTCACCTCCATATAGAACTCTCTGTGTTTCTGTGCTTCATTTAAGGCACAGATGGAAAGTAGAACACAGTTAAAAGGTAATGGGGTTTCCTACTCAGTGCTGCCCCTTTTATCTCCCTCTTCCAGTACAGGATGGATAAAATTTCATTCTTGTTATGGTATTGCATGTGGAAGGGATAAGTGTCAATGCCAGGCATTATTCTTTATGCAACATTTTGGTTACCAAATGACCCTGTGGTCAGTCTTATGTAATGCCTGAGACAGCTTCCGTAGAATGCTGAAGTGTGTTGCTGTTGGTAGCTTCTGGGATCAGCTTTCCAGCCAAGTTGCATTTAAAGCATACTTCAGTGATCTTCCAAGCAGGGAAAGCTAAGACACGTGTATTAATTTTTGATGCCTACCACACCCTTTCATTCTAGCCTAGGTACCACGGTGAGGTTGTTTTCATATTGATTTTATTAGACTAGTGGCAGACTAAGACCCCTTCATTTCTTGTTCTGCTTAGGTATCAGGCTGACATACCCAAACAAATACACTGACCTTCAGATGGACCCACACAGTGACTCTGACCTGGCAGGGACCAGCTCCCTAGCACAGCAAGGCAGCTGAGTGCCAATTCCTGAAAATCACGAGGCAAAGCTCTTTCCTCCAAAACTCATATGAAAGAACATTAGGCATTATTTCACTGCAGTGTTTGCCCACAGTGTGTATCCTGTTTCCTCCTGTGGCATCAGGATAAACCCGTCTCCCTTCTCCCTTGGAGCAGTGCTCCGCTGTGCTCACTGCGCTTCATTACCTGCAAGCCGCAGGCTGGTGCAGAGGAGACTTGTGACACTGAGATCAGCTGGAGCCTAATGGGAGAGGAGTCCGCATGACTGCAGCCGCACGGACTGCTCTGCCGCTGCGCTCTAGGTAAATAAAGCCCATAAAGCCCACTGTGCTCACTCTTCAGCTGCTACATTTTTTTCCTCTTTTTTTACTTCTTTTATTTTTGTTTTTTGTTTTTTTATCCCATGAAGCTGCTGTTGCTGCAGGTTTTGGCCTCAAAATTTCGTTTCTCAGGATAGAGAGCCACTGCTTCTGTATCGTCAGGCTGCAGCATGACATGCAGCAGAGATTTCATTATGCATAAGCAGAGCCATCACTAAGGTAGGCAAACACTCTGGCTCTGCAGAACAAAAGGGAAGTGAGAAACAGAATGAGCAAATGTATTATTTGCTGACAATAATTGTTTCCAGTTGCAGCTGATGGCAGGGATTAATCATAGTGTCTTAATACTTTATTTGGGAGCAGAGGAAATATTAAGGGAGGGAAGAGCTGAGAAGTGCTTTTCCAAATCTCCCTTGAAAAGTTAGTAAATAGTACGCTGGAAATGATGCTTAAGGTTTTGAAACTTGCAGTGTGTCTTTTATTGAAATGGCTTTGAACCCTTATACTCCTTATTTCTAATTAGCATCTGAGATGCAGATAAACCTAGCTAAAAGGTGGGAGAAAAACATAGCATACAATTTAGCATCCATGTTATGTGGAGTTATGTATATTAGTTGTTACAATTTCATTTTTTCCTAAAATTAAACCTAGATTAATTACATATAATGCAATCCCCATTTTAGTTCTCTCACGCCTGTGCTTAACTTCAGCTGCAGCTAGCAGAGCTCTAGTCCAGTGCTGTTCTCTGCAACCTCTGTCTTTTCCTGATTTAAATACATCCTAAAGCTATTGTTTTTCCATAACATCCACAAGAAACTATTGTGTCCTAGTCTACCATATGTAATTTGTTATGGAATGAACCACTCTCTATCACGGAGGGAGGGGAACACAGAAACACCTGAGACAGGAGTAATTGTCCCTTTCATTTAACCAAGGCCAGTGCTGTAGCCATGCCTACCACAGCTTACACCTACATTAAACAAACTTGTTTTACATCACATTAAATAATGATAATAAATTTTTGGTCATGGATATATTCCCAATATTTGCAAAACTTCAGGACTGAGCCTGTGACTGTACACCTTGTAAATAGATTTTCAGCCAAAGCAATTTACACATGTTTTTGATCAGGTGAATTCCTGTAGCACCTTTAAAAATTGAAATACTACCAGCTCTAAGGATATTTGCTAGCCTGGTTTTGAAAATCATTTCTGTTGCACTCCAATGCATTGTCCCTCTTTCTTACTCAAGTATTTCACTGGCAATGCAGCTTCTGACCAAATCCTTGTTATTCCATTTACTTGCTTCCCTGAGGTTTGTCCTCTTGGCTGCTTTGAAGAGGTGGAGCAGAGCAGAGCAACACCTTCCCCACAATTGCGGCTCCCCCTCTTTTCTCAAAGATTACTTTTCTGCAGCATTTAACCTGCACACAGGGAAAGCTCTTGGCTTTTAGCAGTTAACTGCAGTCGGCTTAACACTTTATGAAATACAGTTTGCCCTTTCAGGCGCTAGCCAGATTTAACTTGCTTTATCTTCAGAGCACACAAAAAAGGAGAAATGCTTTAATTAGAAGTAGCTTTTTTGTTGTAAACTGCCAGTGGGAGTAGGGTGAACTTCCCACCCTTGTTGGGTGGGACAAAATTAGTATCAAATAACAATTCTGAGGTAAAAATTACCTGTGTCTGTTCCTAGCAGGATTTGAGGTTGAAATTAATATCTTGAGAGTTGTCTTTCTGGGTGAACACATCTAACCTTAGATTTAATCATATAATCATAGGCATAAATGTGGTTCTAACATGAAGCAATTTTCAGGAGAGAGATGACCCAAAGCTTGCAGACTGCCTTTGTGTGCCATTAAATGCAGAGTTCTGCCAGTCTGGAAGCTTCTTCTGCCTGGTACTGTCTGGTTCCCCACTATTTTTCCCCTCAGATTCTCTCTCTTTCATTGAAGTGAGTGTTCACCTTTGAAAGAAGAAACTGTGTGGGCTCCATTTAAGACTAAAAAAGATACCAAAACTGCCATTTAAATTCAGTAACACAGGCACTGCAATTACAGGGATGCCCTTGCAAAACTAGGTTCTTCTGCCTGCTTTTGATGGAGAGCAGGGAGGGTTTTTTTCATTCTTACTCAACCTAATTGTTTGTCCTGATTTTTCATTAACTTGTCTTTGCCTAACCAGCAACTCTTAAATACTTTTCTTTCCCCCATCATTCCCTTTTCGCTATTCCTGTTCTCTGTTCTCCTTTGTCTCTTACTTTCCATGGCACAGGGCACAAATCCCTCCTCTGGGGGCTGTTTGCCCTGGTAAGAAGCTACCACACCACAATACAAATTGAGGTATGAGGTGGACTTCAGCAGAGTCCTCTGCCAAAATTAAAATTCAGCTCAGTCCCGCCTCTCCGAACTGTGTATCTTAGCATTAAGGTGATTTTCAAGCAACAAGGGCAAAATTAGACCGCAAATAAAAATGATCCAGAGGGTAAGTGTTTGGCCTCATGTATTTGCATTTGCAGGCAGATGTATTTATGAGTCCTCTTTTGGTTTGTGTTTTGTAGGACGAAGAAGGTCAGCCACTGCTACCGTATCATTTACCGGCACCCGGAGAGGACACTAACGCAGGACGAGGTGCATCGCATCCATCAGGCTATTGAGGAGTCAGCAGTCCGGGAGCTTGGGGTGGAGGGCAGGTTCTAGCAATGCTGCTCTGGAGCCACGAGGACAGTTGCTTTTTTCTTTCTATTTTTCCATTTTTTTCCCCCTCTCTTTTTTTCTTCTGTTTTCTTCTTTTTTTGGGAGGTAGCTTTAGGTCACAAGTAGAGAGACGGGTTTTGTGACAGAAAGGGATTGATGAATGGGCAATGGTAAAACTGGCAGGTAATAAACATTACTACTGAGAAATCATTGATAGAATGCTGGTGCTTTATTTTAAGAAATGGGGGAACAGCAGTAATGTAAGATTTCCCTCCTGTTACGATAAGAAATACAGTGCCTGGTGGTTTTCTGTGTTGTTAATTGGTCCCTGGGTTCCATTAACTGTAAATACTTGGCATTATTTTAGTGTTGACAGGATCTTCTGTCCATGTAACAAGTGAAGCAAATCAGAGACACAGATTACTTCAGGGAAGAAAAACCCATCCTGCCCCACCTCACCCTATCCCCACTCCCAGCTTTTTTTTTTTTTTTTTAAATAAGAGATGTCAGATTTTGCTTCAAGAAACCTTCCAAGAAGTACTTCTTGTGACTCCCTTACCTTCAGAGCCCATGGGTGTTGCTTTCATCAGCTTCAGAGAAGGAGCCACTGTGGTTTGGGCCAGGCTGGGCAGTTTACAAATCCTGGGTCACTGGCAAGTTTTTCCTGTTAGATCCTCTTGTTCCCACAAAGCTGAGCAGAGCTTAGTCAGGTGCTCCAAGCTCTGCTGCCTTCACCAGGGGAGGAGCTCCCTTGTCTCACTTTTCTTTGCATAGACACCAGTGCAAGATAAGTCTCCTCCCCTGTCACCATCAAAGTGTTGGTATCACCTGTGGCAGGATGGCAGTAAATAGAAACTCTTCCCTACAATGCCCTGAAAAGCAGCTGCCTTGATCTCTCACAGTATCTTGCTATCTAGCTGCAGTGTCTGCTCAGAAATTTGACCTTTAAGGCAGGAAACCAAACTAAAATGGGATCTTCTGCTGTTTGAGGCTGCAGTTGCTTTACAGGATGCTTTCCTTTTTCATTGCAGGTTATAATAAGTAAATTCTGGTGGTAGTATGGTGCTAGGGCCTGTAGAAATGTTCAAATGATCTGATAAATACTTGATGAGCCATTGCAGATGCTGATACGGAATGTGGGACCTGTTTTGGCTTATGATAACATTTCATAGAGTGTTGCAGGTCACATCTGGTTGCTGTGCAGACAACATTCCCTCCTTCAGAGAAGAAGGCGGTAAAAATGCTGCAATAAACAGCATCTAACACTGATTTATACCTTATCAAGAAACATCTGTGCAGCAGGCTTGTACTCAACCATACGAAGCCAGTAACTATTGCAGATGTGACAGAGGCAGAGAGCTCATTTTAATTTCATTACTCGACATATTTAGCTGTGTAAACAAATCCTAATCTAAATTGCTGTTGTGTTATCCAAATAACTTGATTATGAAAACAGTATGCTAGACTTTCTACAAGGCAAAAAGAATGGGTGCCATTTAGGCATCAGAAAAACCTACATGGTTATTTTTAAACCATCATCTACTAAAATCCATAAATACAGCATAGCCCATTTGATGTTTCTCAGTCTCCTTAATCCTTCACCTTTTCAGAATTTTCAGTGATGACATGAGAAGGAGGAGGAGGAGGAGAAGGAGGACTTCTCTGAACTGCACTGAGCAGTACTTGTTCCAAGACGGGGTGATTGATGCTGTCACACAGGCTAGCAGATATTGTGGATCTTAATTGATGAAATTGTCTGTGGAGAGAGTACCATAACCTGTGTGCTCTATGAAAGAACTAAGTCTCTTGGGAAAACAGGAGAACATCTGTGGTGAAGTATGTCACAAGATTTCCCTTTTAATGTATTGATTAGTGAGGTTTCTCTTTTCTACTCCCCAAATCTTTCAGTTCTTCTTTGATTCTGATCAGCCAGTTTTGAGGGCATAGAAATCTGGGAAAAACAAGGAGCAGAAAATAGGACATTGACCCTTTTCCACTGCAGCCACAGGACTTCATGTCTGGCTTTGCAAGGCAGTTTGGATGTTCTAGGATCAGCCTAGAACAGTCATTAACATCAGCTGTGTTTGACTCAATGATTTCAGAGCTCTTTTCCAAGCTAAACAATTCTGTGATTCTCTGTGTCAGAATTGCACTCCAGTGAGCACAGTGAGCAACAGCCAGGTAGCTGAACTGGTGGAGTAGTGTTGTCCTTTGAAACCTGAAAAGTTAATCTCACAAACTAATAGGATAAGGGGGAAATGGAAAGCTTTCCCTGAAGGTGGCCTGTCATCTTCTGGAGTACATGGTTTCATAGGAACAACTTTCAGGCCATAAGATTAAAAACCAAACAACCTCTTCAGGAGCAAGTGTGATTCAGTCATATGAAGGCCTGTAAAATCATATGGGCTGACTGTGAGCATAATATACATACTTGACTATGTTTAGCTTAGGTAAGCCTTTGTCATATATGTTCTAGGATTAACCTACTCTGAAGACCTATTGTTCTGGCAAGGATTCACCACAAGCAGCAAAGCAGACCTCAGATCAAAAGGCATCACTGTTCCTCTTTATGCTCCTGTCCTTGGGCAAATATGGTCTTCCCTTCAAAGCTTCACCTTAATTTTACTGGGAAATTTGCTATGGATAGTAGTAAACTCTCAAACCATGTGATCCCTTGTGGGTGCCAACAGAGACCCCATTAGAATCTCAAGGTTGTAAAAGCCGTGGTTTATTTTATTGCTGGTCAGAGACACAGGATGCCAGCAGGACCTCAGAGACTGGACTGATCCTGGTGGGAGTGTGACTGAGGAAGGTCCTTGGGACAGTCAGTGACCAACTCTGACAAAGAAAGGGCTGTCCTCTGCTGTCACTTGGCTTTTCTCAAGACACATTTAGCACAAAGGTGGGTGAACTGGCTTGAAGACCAACAACAATGTCACTGCCAAGGTAAGATCCTTTGCTGGTCTCTGCTACCCTATAATCTGTCTCATTAATATCCCCCAGCCTTGGATGAGCTCCAAGTCTAGTGAAGGGGGATGAGTTCCCAAATACAAAAGTGATACCATGCCATGTGGAAATATTAAGAGGAGCAGCATTTAAGTAATTAATCACCATGCTGGCTGACTAGTGAGAGGCACAATACACTGCTTCTTGTTTTTATCAGCTCCTTCTTTATGTTTTTGTGCGCCTTGTGGGTTTTATATCAGCATCCTTTAATAAAGAGGGAAAAGTCAATTGTAGCAACAGAAGCTACAGGAGTACTGGCTGGGCATCTGTGTGACTGAACAGTATGTACTGTTTGAATGTTGTGGGTGCTGGTTTTCTTTTTAGTTGCCATTGGTTTTCAAGCTAACTGTGATTCCTGAAAGACCAGAGATTTAGTTTTAGTGCCCAGTTTGAGATCTTCCCAGTAAAAGGCAGCAGATTTATGGTGCACTAAGCCTTACCTTGTTCTGATGTTCTTTTTAAAGGTGCTGCAGTGGAAAGGTGGTGTGATCTAGATAGGCAGGAAATGGCTCTGTGTTTTTATCCTTGAGACTGCAGTCACCTCTGCCATGGCATTGCCAGGTGTGATCAAACAGTCACAGAAATCTGAAATCAGTTTTCTACTGGGAATCCAAGCTATATTAGTAAACCACTGGTGATCATTATTGCCCTTCCACTGGGAGTGTTACTGCTGTCCCTCTGCAGCTGGTGGCTGTACTGCAGCACCGAATTTGCTGACTTCTTACTCTACACCTGTATTGAGTTTCTCAGCTACTGACATATTGGTCTCAGCCCTTGAATAATTTTGTGTAGGGATTAACTTTTTGTGAAAAAAAGTTGTGGGCTTTTCATGTGTGTGGTAGTTTTTATCTGCAGTGATTGGTGCATTTCACCTGTCCCAGGAAAACTCACAGTCAACACAGGACTCTTTGGTGGTTCATTGAAGAAAACACAGGGAGTTTTGCCCTGAAAAACAGAATTATGTCCATCTCATTGAGTTCATATTTGGGCAAAACTAAAGAACCTGTGGGTTGACTGAAGGTTGACTAGTGTTCGTTGGTTAAGCCAGGCTCAGAAAGCACCCTGTGTTGCCACCCTCACCCCAAACACACACAAAAGCAGTTTTATGCACAAGGACATTCTGTCAGATTCAGTGTGTGCCTCTAAAATGATGGTGCTGGGTATTTCAGGCTTGCTAGTTGGTGAATATCTCCATCTGAATTGCTATCATCTGGGAGAGAAAATGGCTTTGTATTTCAGCTCTGGAAAAAGTAGCTATATTTTTAAAGCTCAGAGCTTTCTTCAGCTACTGTCTGCTGTGTGTCATTGCTCAGAGATGACTGTTTCTGTAAAACAGTTTTGCTTTCTGTGTAGAACATGCCATATTGACTAATTACACACATCCTGATCAAATTTTAAGATATGTGAGCGTTGTCTCTGAAGGGCCACCAAAACTGAAGCAGTCTTGTGATGACCTTGAACAAATTTGTAGGGGGCACAAGAAACCAGCCATTGGTTACTTGCTACCTGCTTTTAAATGTTGGTACAACCACATCAGAATATTAAGCTGAGTTATCTCAGAGGAGACAACTGCAGTTCAACACAGAGCATGGACATATGCTGGGTGAAGGCACTGACTTCCCCAGACTGTGTTGTATAAGGTTTGATCATCATTAACATCTGATGCACGCAAATGTTTGGCAGTTTTTGTGCTTTTGTCAGATGGCCTCTGTTATTCTGTCTATGCCCACTGTTAGCTAAGTAGAGTCTGGTTTAGTCGGCCTTTTTTACTTGGACTTCTGACACGACCTTGCTTTCTCATTTCAGTTTTGCTTACTTTCTCATACAGTTCTTGCCGTTGAAATTTGGTATAACTTTGGTGAAGACACAGTGCCAGGCTGCAGGCAGGGAGATTTATTATGCCACAGCCTAAAGCCTGTGCTCCTGCTCCACATTACTGCAGGGTCTCTCTGTCCTCACCCTCTGGATGCAGGTGATTAACACGTGGTCCAGGGAATTGCGCCTCTGCCTGCTCAGTAATTTGCTGGGCAGTGCTGCAGTCATCCAGAGCAGCTGCCACTCAAATGGGCAGTAGATTGTTCTCTTTTTATTTTAGTGCCTGCAGCTTCACCGTGTGCCACAGCCAGACGTGCTGTGTTGATGTTTGCTGCAGCAAAGCATCAATTAGCTGCATCTCACAGTGTGCTGCCTGTGCAGCCAACTTTCAGCAGAATCCCTGCATGCATGTAAATGATTGTTCCCATCCCCATCCGCAGATGGGAGGCACATCAAGGCCAGGGGTCAGGATTAAAACCTTACTAGACTCCCAACAGGTATGATTAACTGCTTGTGGGATTTCAATAATGTCTGTAGAGGATGGAAAGTCCAAACTTGAGGAATCTGTCCAAAAGTCACTTGAAAGATTTTGTAACTCAGCACTCAGTGGCTGTGGTGACACCAGTGTCATTCTGGAGGAGAGGAACAGGTTTAGGGAGAGATCACAGGGTAACTGAGAAGCAAGGCACTCATGTTCTGGGCTCAAAGGGCTGAACTATCCTCCCTACCACCATGCTCCAAGGAGGCACGGATGTGATTTTGGCTGCCTGCTTTTGCATAGGCACATAGTAAATAATTAACATGCACAGCCAGGCTTTTTGGTCATCAGTTATTGCTGTAACTGATGATTAATTCAAGGAATTATTGATTCTCATGCCAAATCTTTACTCATCGGTGGTAGAGAAACTAATAATCATTCACAGGGTCATTAGTGACAGATCTCAGTATAAGATAAGTTTTCTCAGTATAGGAAGTGGATAAAACATGTGGGAATGGAAGTGTAGGTCCGTAGGTTTGTTTGTTCTTCCAGATTGTGAGGGGAGTGATTGACAAACTCAAGTCAAAAGTCTGACTTGTACCCACACCAAGGCCCCTCTTCTTGGATGTTCACATACTTGGTGTTGCTTTCAAGAGGAACAGCACATCTGGGATCGCCAAACAGCTCTCCAGACATGTCTGCTCAGTGTCCACCGGAAGCTCTTGCCTGGACACTGGAGACTCTGAGCACACATTGTGCGTTGCACAGCAACATGGTTGGAGCCCGATTGCCATAAAATCCCTGTCCTATGCTCATGGTACACATAAGCTTACCTCCCTGGGCCCTACCCTGAAGCACTTCCTGTCTTTGGCAATCTCCTAAATTCTGGTTAATCTCCTTCCCATGACTCCAGACCTGAGCTCTTCTCCCCTTTCTACCAGAATGCCCCAGTCGGTGCCTGCTGCCTTGCCAGAAGCTTGCTCAGGAGGTTTTCATGCTGGGGCCAAGAAAAACAGATCGATGCTCCCTGAGTATGTGTGTTAATGCTTGGGTGTCTCCTCTCAGCTGCTGTTTTTCCCAAAGTTTGCCAGAACATCATGCCTCAGAGACCCTCACTTGAAGTCCAGCATGGATGTGCTTGGATCCAACAGTCAGTGAAGGTCACTGGCAGTGGAAGCCTGAACACCCCTCTCCATTGTACACAGCATTCCTTCCTTAAGCAAGGAGACAGAGAAATAGCAGGCCTACAAGGAAGGAATAATTAACAGCATACTGACTGAAAGTTCAGGTGTATTAGTAAGAACGTGATGCCCAGCATGGTCCCTTGCATGTACTTCCAGAAAATGATTACAAATATATTTTGATGAATAACAACAGCAGCCTTCTTTGTGTTTACAAGCTTCTGTTATTGTACTGTATAGCCTGCATAATTTTCTTTTCCGCTTGTTAGAAACACACAAATTTGAATTTGGTTAAGAATTAAATTATTTCCTGATGTTCCTGGTCTTGCAGCATTACTTCTTATGTTTGAATAAGGAGGTCAGCCCAGCTTTGCTGAGAAGATTTTTAATACCTTACCATATTGTGCTATTTGTGTGTCACATACACATGAAATCAGAGTGGGTTATGCGAGTGTCATTTCTGTCCTGTGGACACACAAGCTGGGTTGTTGTTCCCTATATTCTGTCTGATTAGAGATTTTTCTCTCTGCTGCTTTGCCCCAATACACAGAAATCACCTTTTTCGTAGAAAAACTCAGTTCTTTCTGGTGCCTTATGCTGTCAGAGAGCCAACACTCTTCTGAGCACTCTCCCTTCAAAGATCAATCAAATTTTGGGCAGAGAACTCCCGTTCCCACTTGAGACTTTTTTTCAGCCTGAAAGACTTTCTGGCATCTGTTTTAGACTCCTGTGAAACACCTGCTGCTGGTGACAATGCAGGTCCGTTTCTGCCTCCAGGGAAGAAAGGTGACTTAATAGAAAGGCCAACTTTATAAAAGATATTTGAATTACTTAAATGTCCTGCCATAATGACAAAAAAAAATTTTAGCCTTTTAAAAATTATGCAAAGAAGTCAGTTTTGGTCTTTACTAGAGGGCAGGTTTGTGCAGTGGTAGCATTTCCACATCAGTGCAGCTTGTGAGGCTCCAACAGAAGACAACTTTTCCACTGAAGGCTCTTTCATTCACGTTTGGAAAATTCCTTGGTAGTTTTATGGCTTCCCTTCTGTTTGGACACACATCTGGGGTCATTGGATGTGCCTTCTCTGCTTGTTCCCTGACACCTTCTGTGCCTGGTGCTCTGGCTCTGCCTAGGATGGGGCAAAGAGGGGAAAGTGGCTCTAAACTTACAGGGTCTCTTGGTTGCTATCACTTTCTCTGGGCTTTGAGGGAAGTCAGCTGGAAGAATGCTTCTCCTAGCACTGATGTTGCAGTGGAGACATGGTTAAAAGGAAGAAAAGTAGTGACATTTCCCAGAGGGAAGTAGGTGTGAGATGATCCATGTGGGACAGTTGGCCTTGCATTCAGACAGCAACTGTTCCATGCTGCCAGGAAAAAGGTAATTTTTCAGTGTAGATGAAGGTGGCACCATATATGGCCATCTCCATCTGGAAACCACAGGCCAGATGCTGAGCTAAACACTGGGCTTTCCTCCATGGCCATTGAGTTATTTTGTACATAAAACCAGAGTTTCATATATGTGTCCAGGAAACTCTCTGGAAAAGCACACCCTATAAATGGGGTAGGATAGGCTTGTTATTAAACCCTTCCAATCAGTGCCTACCTAAAAAAGGCAGGAGAAATCTCTCCATAAATGGGGACTTTTTCTTAATAGGGGCTGTAATCCTGACCTTTCCTACAAGATCTTAGGGGTCTTGAAACATTTTTCCAGTGAAGATCGAATTATACACCTTAATCAGACACATGAACTGGAGGCTGGAGAGACTGAGGGGATGGTCTTGTCTCACAGATTTCTGATGCAGTACCTGAATCCCATTCTGTAGGTGGAGGACCTTGGTGCTTTACCTGATCCTTCGAGCACTGGATTTGGATCAGGCCCCACTTCTCTGCTTCTCTGCATTGCAGTGCCATTTAATGCTTTACACTGGAAGCTTCCTCCACCAAAATCCAACCAGAAGTGTTACAGTGACTGAGAGAAAATGGATGGAAGAGGGAAAGTGTGAGGCAGCAAGGGTCACCAGGCATCTCATTTTCCCAATATGTCCACTCTTTTCTTTTCAAAGCACATGTTGAGTGAGGCTGAGGAAGCAATTGGCAGCACATTCACAGCATCTTGGTCCTCTGTGTATGTGTCTCCTGCAAGGATCTCAGTCTGGTGTGTGTACTGAAATTGTGTCAAGAGCTACACAGTTACTGCCTGGGGATTGTGTGCCTGGTCTGCCGGAAGATTTCATTTCAAGAGCTCTTGGGCACCTAGGATCAGCTGTAAGGAAGGGGATGAAATGCTTGGTGGTCAGGCTTAGCCCTGCAGGGCATCTCTCTGGACATGAGAGTGCAGAGAGCAGCAGTGCTCCTGCTTCCTCTGGTCCTTTCCTGCTCCAAGGCCAGTGCACGCCCCCAGTGCCCACAAGAGCTGAGATTCACATGGTGGTGTCTGAAACATGTTTCCTCTTGTGAAAGGCTGACAAGTGTACATGAAAGCATTTCATCAAGTTATCAAATAACATTTTGTTCTTGTCTCCATATGATGAGCATAGTTTGGCAGTCCAGGCTCTTACATATGTAATATAGATTATAGATGCAGGAGCTCTCAATGCATTGTTTTTCTTGCATTAACCTTTTCTGTTTCCCCTTGTGCCCGTGTGAACTTCTGTCATTCATGTCCTGTGGTAAGTAGCTGAGTTTAGCTAAGCTGTGTTAAAAAGAACGTATGCTTTGGGTCGGTTTGAACCTGTCATCTAGCTTTGCCTGCTGTCCCACATCCCAAAATATCCACACAGTCAACACCAGGCCCCTGGTAACCAGAGAGGTACTGACAAATCTGGGAAGTTTTCGGAAGAAAGTGACAGAATTCTTCAGGAGAGGTGGAAGCACAGGTAGACGAGTTCAAATATAAACTGATGCAGAGCCCAGCTCGGGAATGACTAACAAATGTGTGGTTTGTGAGACATGCAGAGCTCTGATGAGCACGAACAACCTCCCACTCTCCTGAGCATGAGAGCAGAATTCTTGGTGTGACACGCAGGGATATAACAAGGGCTAATAGTGTGACAGGCAGACTGAAAGTAAGGTAAAATTTCCTGACAGTGAGATGTATTTTGCTGTGAAACAGCCTCCCAAGGGAAAGGCAGGAGCCCAACTGCTTTGTCTTTTTTAAAGCCAAACTGGACAAAGCATTAGGAAAGGTAATTCACGGAGCAAGTGTAAAATAGCTGGAGTGGCGAACTAATAGATCCTTTCCATTTCTAGCTCCTAGGATATAGTGCTATCTGTAATGAATTTTTGACTGGTTTTTAGCTTAGGGAGTAACAGGGAGATAACACTGAGCAAAAATATTAACAATAAGAACTAAAAGAAACAAATTGTAGAGTTTGTCTGATAGTCACGGAAAGTGCCAGATTGAGAGTTCCTTAGGTTAATGGCACTATTCAAAAATAGCTTTGCAAATGGGAAAGTGAAAATTGTTACATAGGTAATTATTGTGGTAATGACATATTTTTAAAGAGTCCTAGTAGTCCCAAGTATCCAAGAGCACATCTCAGATTTGGGGGTGTTCCCATTCATGTAATGTGGAATTGCTGTAGCTGATACTGAAATGCAGCAACCACTGCACTGAAACAACCAGTTTCAATGGCAGCAGTTCAAGATGGGGTATAAAGTACAACTTCTGTAAATGAAACTGTAGAAGAATTGTCTTGGTTTGGCAGAATTTCATTAACTGATTAATTATCTAGGCAGGAGTTTCTTTTGCAACTGCCTTTCCCCATGTCTTTGCTTTTAAAGCAGCAGGATCTGGCAATATTGACCAGGCTTCCCTGGTTCCTTTGGGCGGGCAGGGGGAAGTCTGCCAAACTAGCATGACCCTGAGCTGAGACACGCTGGACTGGCCTCCCTATGCAGTTTTTATCTCCCTCTTGAGTGTCCTGACTTCAGCTTCTAAACTCCCAGAGAACAAGGGAAATCTAGTTTCTTTTAGCAAAGACAAAAAGGGAGCCCTTTTGGAAAAATAGGAAAATGCAAAATAGTATGGAACCAGAATAGGCAGATTGGAAAAGCTGAATAATATATTATTAACTGGTTTTAATATTGTAATTTTAAACTGAAGTGTGTGGGTTGTCATTCACATAGGGAGCAACTATTTTTTCTTTTTTTTTTTTTTTTTTAATAAGCAATCAGAAATCTGAAAGATAGTGGCCAAAATACAGATGTCCTGCATTGTTTGTTGTTCATGAAATTAGACTTTCTTAGACAACAGCCTTGAGGAGTCAGTTGAAAGAGGAAGGAAATGAGCCAGGCAAGAACTTGCATGTTGAACATGTCATCCTTCTGGAGCCACATGCTCACCATGGAACTGACTCACATGGCATTAAAAATTGTTTGTTCTCATTTACATGATCTGCAAGACTGTGTTTAATGTAGTATGTGTTAGCTGTACAATTAATCAAATGCTATCCATTTGTTAATGAAAGGGGAAAACATTCCTGTATAAAATGCCATTGACTACTGAGTAGCTTGGGTACTGAACAGTTTGTCTACCTCTATATTTTATACAAATTTAGCAATATTTAAGATTTTTTTCAACAGTCACTACAGGTTTAATTCTTTTGTCTGTTAGCTATTCATGCAAAACTCAGTACAAAATTCCTTTTTATGTTTGTATTATTCATGGGGGTTGTTTGGAGCTAGAGTTCTCACTTTATCCATCAGAAATTTCAGTGTTTCATCAAAAAAAAACCATAACTTCTGGCCTGAGATAAAATCCTGCCACTCTCCTGCTTCCAAAACAACAGAGCCAAAAAAAATATTTATTTATGAACAACTGATGTGACAGTCTTCAGCTTACAGCTACTGTAAAACTTCGTGATCTGGGTTTCCCAGGGCTTGCCGGTTCTTAGTGTTATGGCAGCTGAAAAAATTATAACACCAGCAGCTTCCACCATTTGAGCTGCCAAAATTGCAACATTCCTCTGAAGTGGCTTTTTTTTTCCCTGAACGTTCTTATGTAAATTTTTTCTCTCTAAAACCTTTCAACTATTCCCAGGTCTTAGACTGTAAGTCAGTATTTGACTTTCAGTAGGACATTTGTTTCTCAACTTCTTTATTTCATGAAAGAATGACTTCTATTCCTTTTTCATTAAGGCACCTTAGAAATCCTACCTTTCTTAGTGATGCCACAGAAAATCTCTCAAAGCGTGGGTGGTTCAGCTGCTGTTACCTGATGCAACCCTCAGTCTGGGTGCACTGTCTTGCTTTAGGGAAAGGATGGCTCCTGGCAAGAGGCTGTGGATCCCATCCCTCTGTTTGCTTGTTGGCTGCTGGTATGAGGAGGCTGGAAAAGGATGGAAAGGGATGTGATGCAAGGCATCTCTCAGAAAAGCTGTGGCATGAATGAATCAGAGAACATTGCTTCCTACTTAAGTGCTAAATTCCTATTAGATACAGGAGGAATGTAATTCCAAAATCCAGGCACAGAACAGATGTTAATTGGTCAGGAAAGTATAAGTACCATAAATAATTGTGTGATTGACTGAAAGGGGAGCTGGGAATCTCCTTTTTATTCCCTGCAGGGGCACTGACCAGAGAGACCATGAAGAACTCACATCCCCTCAGTTCTCCAGCCTGTAAAGTGGGAATGATAATGCCAGCTTTCCTTTGCCATGTGCTTTGAGACTTCCAGAGGTAACACTGCACAGTCCACTGCATTAATGTGGGTATTTAACAATGTTTGAGCTGACATCAGGGCACACCCCAGGCGTGCAGGGACCACCCAGGGTAGCTGATGTGGCACAGTGAGAAGGGCCACTCCAAAACCATCCCCGAACTCCAGCTGGTTGCCATGGTGGCAGGACCGCTGAGTGCGGCAAGGCAAGGGGAGAGTGATAAATGCTGCTCAGGATAACTTACAGCATCAAGGCTGCACTTGGAAATAGCTCTGGTTTTGTGGGTCTGGGCTTGCAGGAGACATTGCTGAGCTTTGGGATTTCCTCTTCTCCAGCTCACCTACAGTGAACAATATGAGCCAAAAAGTAGAGAACTGTCACCTTGTTCTTCTAAGTTCTTCTGAGCCTTCTGATGTTTACATTTTTGTAATGGAGTTTCTCACACACTTTTATGTAAATAATGATTGGTTTGCATTCCTTTCTAGAAGATGAGAAATTTGATGGACTGTTGGTTTAACCAGTGTAGCTGGAGAGGTGGTAAGTTCATCCTCCAATCCATGGTCACTTTTGGAAGTCTATAAATATTAAAGTCAGACATAAACTTCACTTTGTTACCTTAGACATTTCAGCATGTGCGTGTTGTTCATTTCTTGTCCTATTGTGACAGAGAATCACTGTGGAGAGAGAGATTCAGACTTTCCCTTGGCCTTTTGGTGATGGAGTGGGTGGGAGAGGAATCTGCATCTCTGAAGCCCTTCTGCAAGGACTTGGTGTTGAAAGCTGGTGAATACCATCTGCTGGCCTGCTTTCTACTCATCGTTTCATACGTGCTGCTGCCTGGTACTCCTTTAGTCCCTGGGTCAGTGACATTCCTAGCACAAGGACTTTTCCTCCAGCCAGCCCCAGAGGCACCAGTCCCCCTCAGAGCCTAGAGCAGGATCAAGAAGGATGCCCTCCTCATTCAGGTTGTGTGACTGGGATCTTGAGAGCACTGAATGGTCTGCGGGCAGGGAGAGAGCTGGTGGGAGGCAGATGCTAAAAATTGCCTCAAGAGAAATTGGAAGGTGTCAGAAAGGTCATTTTGGAAATGGGGAAAGGACCGAGGGGTTAGAGGGTGGCATGTTAAGTGACATGAACTTCCTTGCTCTCTGCTGCTAATATTTTAGAGTTTGGAGGAAAAACTGGCAAGAACTTTTCTGCTGATGAAGCAACATACAAATGGACATAGTTGCAAGTTAGGGATCATAGATTTTACAAAGGAAATAATGAAAAGTGCCTTGTGAGCCACATGTACTGGTGAAAATTTGACTGAGTTTCTGAAGATGAGAGGAAGCAGACAGGGGCCTAGGAAATATCTTTAAAAGCTAGGGAAAGCATAGGGAAACTGGTTTTAAGAAAAACAAGATAAAATGGCAATTGCATCTAAGCCCACGCAGGCACTTACTCTCTTGCTTTCTCTCTTACACCCACACACTCAAGCACATCTTTCTGTCCGAAATAGTAGAGAAAAGATATCATAGCCTTTATTGTCAAGAGTAATTTCTCTTCTCATGTTACTAACAACAAATTCTCAGAGCAAGGAGATAGATACTTCACAAAACTCCTCTGCCTGCTCTTTTCCCCTTTCTAAACCTGAAAAAAACAAGGAAGAAAGCCCCTGTGAGCTGTGGAGTTGAGGAGCTACATGTTGACAGCTCTTGGATGGCTGAAGGCCAAGCACAAGTATTTGTGTGCCAGTAGCACCACGGGAGGCAGCCGGGTGATTGCGTGGGGAACTCGGGCTCGCTTTTCCTCACAGGAATGGCTTTGCTTTCGGGGCTGTCAGGGAACATGGCTGCATGAGCTTTCACTCCCAAAATGCTTGGCAAACTGGGGGGTTTCCCACACGTCATGTCCAGCGTTGCTGAAAAATCACCAGCTGGCTGCTCAGGAGTAGGGCGCTCCTCAAGAGGATGCCTTTTGGTTGCACAGGGGTTTTACACAGCAGGATGAAGATGGGTGGCTGCCAGCTGGGGTTAAACTCGTGCCACCCCTCTAGGCAGCTCAGAAGGGCTGAGCTCTGGATGTCTCTGGAGAGACAGGGCCATCGTGTGCTCAGACAAGGTCAGCATCATCTCCCTGGGTTACAGGAACAAAAGCTTGAGCCCACCCTAAGCATGCTCGGACTCTCCCTTTCCAGGGATGATCTTTTAACAGGGATTCACACATAGGAGACACTTGGAGATTCACTCAGAGGACTGAAAGCAATTTGGATCTTTGTCCTGTATTTAACTGACACTGTAAACTTCCCTTCTGAGTATTGGCATAGGCCCTCTTGGCTTAGACTGGTGTTTGCCTGACTCCATGAGACTCTCCATCCCAGCACACATTGAGTGAAAGACTCCACCAGCTCATTTACAAATTAGGCATGTTCATAAGAGTCATGTCGCAGAGAGGAAAAAAATCCCTGGGCTGATGTGGATTCCTCTATTCTATACATTCATTCATGGTTGATGGTTGGGAAATTATAGTATGAGAGGGAAGATTATTATAGTTCCTGACAAGGAATAGAATTTGTAAAAGCAGATTTAATTTTTAAAATAATTTTTAAAGCTTTTTTCAAAATTGTATTGTTGTATTTTATTTTATTTTGCAAAAAGTAAATAATAATACCCAAGAATCCCTCAATCCTCTTGCAATGTTCTCTTCTTGCTACATGAAACTGCCAAATCTGAATTGGAAATACGCAAACAAAATGTAGGGCTTTTTTATGATGCTTGGAAGAAAATGGATTTGCAGAGCTTCTCTCTTTAAATGTGTCAACATAAATGACATCCTAGCAGGTCTTGCAGATTGCATGGCATAGGCAAATAACTGCTATTTATTGCATGGGCTGTGCAATTTTTTACCTAGCTATTTCTGCCACATGCAGAATAGATGAAACAAATTTTCCTCGCACATTTATATATACATTTATACATTTATATAGTGCCTGTCAAGAGTTGCATACCGTGGTCTCCACTAATGCTTATTTGTGCCATGATTCCTTATCCAGGATTTAACCCCTCCCAGAGGAAAACTACATCCCATCTGTGATACCTATTACAAAACAAGCCAGATTCTGTGCAGTGTTCTGTCAAACAGGTTACAAACGGCATTTTCCTTCCCTTTGGCCTCCCAAGTCTCCTCTGGAAAGGCAATCTAAGGCAAGTCTATCACAGAGTTACACGAGAGACACCTTGCAATTGACTCTTTCAGGTCTCACAGTCTTTCACATCCAGCTTGTTTCAAAGGGATGGCAACATAAAAGAGAAAAGCATTTAAAAAGAGAAGAAAAATAAGTCAAGGGAGGCTCAACAAGGAAAATCCAGTTCCTTCTGCATGGATATTGGTAAAAACAATTTATGTAAGCACATCACAGTTAATTTGTTTGAGGCTTTTCATATTAAGGAAAAAAAATTAAACTATTTCTCTATCACTTCCTTCTTGCTATGTGTATTTCCAAGCTGTTTGCCCCACTGGCTTTGGATGTTCTCTGCTAATATGTTAGTTACCAAATGTATTATGCTCCAACAGTTCCTCTGGATGGGAATTTCACTTCTGTTCCTCACAACTGTCATCGGAGGGGCAACGCATGTGTCTGAAGGTACCCCTGGAATCTGCTGAATCAGACTCCAAGTTTCCTGCTGCAGCAACATTTCACAATTCTCCTCTCCCTTGATGACCTAAATATCTCAGTTTTCCGAAACACACAAATTAGATCTGTGGTGCAAACATTGCGCCTGCGTGTGTCTGTGCGGGATTTGCTCAGGCAGAGCTTTCACCGCTCGCTTATTTCTCAGAGTAAGAAAAATAAAGGTCTTTGTACTTAGCCTACGATGACAGTTTTGCAGCAGGAGAACACTGAACAAGAAAAATGAAGACTGCAGAAGTGGAAGGAGGAAATGAAAGTTGCTCTGCCGACAGGGCGACATGAATTCAGCAATGGGTGGATTAGTCTGAGTGTTATCAGTGATGATGAAACACAGCAGACTGTGGTAATGAAATATTTATGAATGGGGAAATGATACTGCATTCTGCAGTGCAGCACAGGGGAAAGTGAAATTTCAAGAATACTGTAATAGCAAAGCCCTCCATTAATTATCGAAAGCAAGCTGTAATGCCAGTTACTATGACAACAGGGTCCCCTATGTATTTTGTACTATTGGGCAGGCGGGAGGGGAGAGGTGGGAGAAAGAGGGGGCTGCTCCTATTTACTGGAGTGCATTGTATTTCTTTTTCTGTTGTTGTTGTTGTTAATTAGGACTAGCCCAGCCTGTGACTGTGCAGTTAATTTCAATGATAAAATGATAAAGTGACTACTTTCTAAAATACAGGGAAAGTCTTTAATAAGTGGTACTGGTCTTTTTACTCTTTCCATATTAAGGGACATACTATCAGAATTATTAATATCCTTATATAATATTAATGCATGGTAATGTAATAATAAAAAGCTAAATGATACTAGAAGTATGATTATTAATAATAATTTTGACTGTGTTAGGCTTGCACTCACAGAGCATTTTAGAAGCAGTGATTAATTAAAGTGTCAATATTGGCATACTAAATCCACCACTGCATTTCCAGATGGGGCAAGGGAATGTGTGACCTCTGCCCACTTATTTTTAATTACTACTTATTTGATTTCTTAAACCCATGACTGTCTTTGAGATTTCCACTTATCCTCAGCACAGACAAGGGTTTTTCCTTCCCTTACCTCTACTGGATAGGAGGAAAGCAAGTTATAGCCCATGATGAGGTCCCTGTCAACATGCCCCATCAGAGCAGCACATTTGTGAAAAATGTAACTATAAACACTTACTAAATGGAATAGGCATGCTCTGATGACTGTGGGTGCTGGGAATGGATTGGGACAATGGGCCACGGATGGTGGCCAGTCTGGCTGGCTCTCACTAGGCATCACTTGCTGCTGTGGCTGTAAGAGGCAGAACATTCCTGCATGGAGCATTGCTCCGGGTCAGTCAGGCATTGCTTACATTTTTGTCCTCTCGTTTTAGTCTTTGCAGTGCATTTCATCAGTGTTATCTAAGGGCTCTACAGATAATCTTAGTTTAGCCCCCTTCCAGTGGGCAAAGAGTGCTTCAGGTCCATTAAATTCTTGGTCCAAAGTGATTCAGGTTTCAGCTTCAGGACCTTCCACAGCATGGAAGGAACTCCTGATATTCAGCTCTTCTAGGAGGGAAAGCGTTGCAAAGGCGGGAAGGGAAAATGGTTGGAAACTTGCAGCATGAGTGCTGTCTTGCAAGTAGCTAGGTGCAGTACTTCCTGGTGCACATTTCCTGGTGCACATTTCCTGGTGCACATTTCCTAATCTTACACGATGAAACAAGCTGGAGGCAGGCGTCTTAGCCCTGTGCACCTGATTGGGCACAAACGTGACTGAATGAACAGCAAGTCAAACGTGGTTGCAGCAAGAGGATTTCTGCATCACCACTTAATATAGGAAGTGCCATGGAGGTTGTGTTTTTTTTATATGTGGGTGTATGCACATGCATATGTGTGTATATGCACTCATGCATCCATAAACATAGGTTTTATACTCATAGAATGCAACGGACTGTGCACTGCGTGAAATACTGGCTCAGAGAGGAAGGACTTTGCCTGATTTTGCTCATGTTTAGCTTGCTATATGAATATGGAGGAGAAATCCATTTATTATTTGTTTATTGCTGCAAACATTCCCATCTTGCCCTCCTTGCGGTTCAGAGCCCTCAGCTCCTCTTTGCTTGGGTGCTTTATTGCCATCCTGATTTCTGCTTGCAGCAATCACCTGCCTTGATATGGCTCAAGACATGAGCTGGAAATACTCCATGCCCTTTAGTAGCCTGTATTCCCTTTTTTTTAAAAAAAAAACCCAAACCCACAAACCAAAACACAGCACTATGAGAGTGATGTGCACACTGTGAGCCATAAACAATGGAGTAACATAATCCAGGCAATGAACGGCCTCGGGAAGCCAGCAGGGACAGCGAGGGCTCCGTTTTCACTGTGATGAGAACTGCCCCAGAGGACCAATACGGATGTGAGCTTTCCTCTCCTTGGCTCCAAGGCTAGAGGAATCCAATAAATTGCTCAGACTACAACTCACTTACTTACAAACGGTGTGGGGAAGGACAAGCCTGTTAGGTGTGGGAAAGGAAAGCAGGTTGTATTGGTTTAACAGTTTCAGAAACTTGACAGATAGGAAAAGGTTCTGGTAACTCATTGCTTAGTGTGGAAAAGGCAACAAGTAGCCGTGGGCATGGGAAATGTAATAATATTCCTCAAACACAATATCTGCCAGAGACAGGTCTGATGTATTAATCCTGCCCCAGAATGCAGGAATGGCTGGGCATTCCCCGTAGCTCTCCCCATATCACGAGCTCTGAGTTTAGATGCAGTGCGAAAGGATGGCTGCTGGAAAGGGACATGGATGGGCTTCAGAGTCACCCAGTGTCAGCATTCAGAGCCATGTCTTTTGGAATAGAGGGTGGGGAGGGCCTTGCATGGAGGTCTTTTGGGGAGGGCCTTGCATGCTGCAGGAAAATCATTAGTCCCAGGACTAATTTTACTGTAGAGGAAATAATGGCACAAATTATTCCTGCTGCAACCTAGAGGGCACTACCTTCATCTTTGTGCATTTGATGACGTCTGTGGGCCCACAGTGGAGAAAGGCTGAACTGAGATGTTTCCTTTTCCTCTTCTAAATGGTTTTTGGTTGTCAGTCTTGAGAGTGTTCACATGCATGTGTGTGTAAACTTTAGTTCATTAGTTGTCACACGTAACTCAGGCTATCAGGTCATCAGGGGGTTTGCAAATGTAATCTGGTGGCCACATAAACTCTGTCTTCTCTGGGATGGAAGGTATCAGCAGATTAGTACATCTCTGTGTGGAAAAGACAAATTCTGTCCCTAAGATGCATCAGCCATCTGAGGTAAACCTTGCCTGACCCTTTGGGTTTGGTATCCAGCTGCTGCCAGCTACAGTATAAATTACCCCATCTACACAAGGATTAACCCACGAGCCAATCTGTGTCAAAAGCCATCCTTGTTGTCTCAAAGAGGACAGAGTTGAAAGCTGCCATGCTACAAAGATTTGCACTAAACCTTGAGGTCAGGCTAAAATAAATGTCAAATGTCTATAACACAAACATTTAGAAAGAGCACAGACCAGTGTTTATGGACATTTTATCCTGTTGAAGTGAGAGCCCTGTCACCAAGCTTGGAAAGCAGCCCCAGAACAGCACTAGGAAAAGCAGGATATGAGCCTCAGCAAGGGAAGGAGCTGTGCCTGCGCCTGCCCAGTGTGTAGGAGGAGGGAGGGAAATCAGAAGGGGGATTAGTTTCTGGTTTCTTCTGCTTCTGACAGCCCCTAAGGTGCTAGGGGGAAAAAAAAAAAATCTTTGCATTATATATGTTTGCATCACTCCATAAATAATGAACATCAGCAGTCAGATGGAGCAGGGGCTTCTCTCAGAGGTGTGAAAGCCATAAGGGAGGAATCCCGGAGTGGGATGCCCTGAGTTGCCTGGGTGGCCTCTCTCCCCCAGACGCCAGGTCCTGGTTGCAATTCAGCACACGCAGGGCCCAGCCCTGCAGCAGGAGCCTGGTTTGTACTGAGGCAGCCAGGGGAGAAACCCCCTCCATCACCTGACAGGTTTTATGTTCCAGCTTTGGCTGTTTATTCTTTCTAGTGCTATTCTGTTTGGTCACTGCAGGGACTGCTAAGAGACACAGGGGAACAGAGAGCGCTTAGTCAAGGGCAGAAATATTTGGATGCAGTCAACAATAAAAGGAATCCCTGAAAATTATAGACATTTTCCAGAGCAGCGATTTTCTCTGTCTGCAATGTTTCATTTGCTCCATTCTGAATTACCCTGAAGTGCAATTAAAATACTTTAATGTTTGAAATCTGGAAATCCTCAGTCCCACAGTCTTAATATCATTCCTGGCTGTGAAGGAGGAGGGGAGGAGGGAAGGATTTATTCTCACCAGGCTGCAGGGGGATTTACACTAACGGTTTACATCCACTTCATTGCAAATCCTTTCTGATAAATCCTTCCCACTCAGTGCCTGTGGGTGAGGAGAGGGCAGAGGTGCTGGTGGAACCGGCATTTCCCCTGCCTCCAAATGAGCAGGGCAGCTGTGGCACCCTCCCTCCACAGCTCCAGGCCCACCAGGCACTCTGTGCCCTGCTTTCAGCAAACCTGGAATAATTTTATATCAACTCCTGTGGGAGGAGGTATAAAGCTAAGGCTGCAGTTCTGCCTCTGAAAGTTCTTTTTTTTTCCTTCTTCCATAAGCAGGTAAGACCTGACATCTGAATGCAGATTGAGGATGGAGCCAAGGCATGGGTTTTGGTGTAGTTCCACAAGTGACAACCAGAGGCAATATATCAAAGTGCTGTACTTCTCTGTCAAAAAATACTGTAAAGCTACAATGCATAAGGTGGCTTTGACCATGAAGGAAGGAAGGAAGTAAGGAAGGAAAGCCAGTTTGTTTTTCCTGTGGCTCATCCCTGGCCCTCTTGGACTTTAGCTGCTCCCTACAGCTGCCCGTGGAGTGTGTGCTTGTGGGTGAGCACTACAGAGAGAGAAGCACTTGCTAAGCTGAGAGGACTCGGCATTGCTAAGCAAACATTTAGATGAGTGATATCAGACTGTTCTTAAAGAGCATGTCCTTAATTTAAGACTCAGCATCCAGGCTGAGCCAATTCACATGTGCTGGGAGAAGTCTGCTTGGATGAGTGATGGGAGCTGCTGGTACCTGGAGCGTAGCCTGCCAAGTGAGAGAGGCTACAAGTCATCATCTGAGTACTTTGGAGCAATGTCCTTTATGATCCTCTGATTCATGTGCAAGGAGCATCACATAACTCAGGGACACTTACAAAGCCCAGTGGTGCCATCCTTCAAAGTTTCACTACAGCAACTTCAGGACTGACTCCAGGCAACTCTAGGCAACTCTCTAACTCAGGGCCCAGCTGAACAAGGCCTCGGCTCCCTGCACTTCTGTTTAGCCAACACACTTACTGCTGCAAGACAAGGAGGAGCTGAGGAGCAGTTTTCCTGCCGAGGAAAATTCATGGCACAGAAGTGTAATCAACACTGAGCAGCAAAGAAGAGGGAAGAAGAAGAAACCTACATTTGATGGGTTTGCCTCTAAAGCTAGTCACAGTTTTCTACTGTTGCTGCCAGTTTTTCCTGGTGTGTCTGCCAAAGCCTTGCCTACCTGTCACTCTTGACTGTCAGATGCAGGTGAGGTAAAATGAGTGAGGGTGGCCTATTCCGTGTCTGCTAATTAGAGGAGGATCAGATAATACACCTGTAATTTCTGAGAAAGCCTAGACCTTTGGGCTTTTTCACAGCAGACATGGGTGTACCAGTGTGGGATCCCATACCAGCAGCTGTGTGTACCCAGCTAGACCTCAAACCAGCAGCTCCAGTCCAGCAGCAAACTGTGAGCACTCTTAATGTGCCAGCAGTCTTATGAGATGTGTCTGATGGTGATTTAAAACACCTGAAAGGTTTGACACAAAAGTGGGCAAGAAATTATCCTGTGATTCACCAACAGCAGAGTTGTAAGTGAGCTGCAGCACCTGGAGGATTAAAAAATGGTAGGGGCTCTAATGAACTATCAACTACCATTATCTCTGCATGTTTGTTTGTGGGCATCTTATCAGTTAGAAAGTTTTGGAATTTCAATCCTTTCTCCCTTTTCTATGCCCTAGTAAAAGTCACTCATGCTTAATGGTGTATCTTTTAGGGAAAGATCAGCCAGACCAACCACACTGTGGGGGCAGCAGAGTTTAGTGCTGCTAGCACATCATCCCTTCAATCCACTGCTAAAACAGTCTTTACCCAGAGTGTGTGCTGAGATGTTGAGCATTTTCTTCAAAGAGCTATTTATTAGGCACAGAGAGCCTCGAGACAGAAGCAAGTGCCTACATTTTCTGGGAGGAAAAATAAAAATCTTTTTTGGTTAAAATTAGCTTTCAGGTTGAAGGATTGAAACCACCTGAGGTTGGAGCCTTACTGCTCTTCAATAGGCAAATGAGATGTTTCATGAGGAATTTCCTTTCTGTGACTATGAAATGAGTGCATCTTCCAGCAGCATCTTCTGCAGCATCAGGTGTCTCTCTCCAGAGGAGGAACAAAGCAGGGAGCCAGGTGAGGTTGCTGGGCAGACAATGGATTCCCTCTGCTCTGAGGGATGCTTCACAATGGAGTGGGTATTGCCATTTATTGCAAGTGCCCTGTCATTAACTGTTCATTATAATGCATTAAACAGAGGGATCTCCATAGGGCTCTCATGCCCTCCCTCAGAAGTGTGCCCTGGCTTCCCTGAAGCATTGTTTGAGCAGAGTGTGACAGCACTTGTCAATGGAGCACTTGTGGTGACATGTTTGAGAGTCTTAATGCACTTTTTAATTCTCCTCCCTCAGTCTCCTGCATGTTCTTTCAAATTCAGATGTGGATTTTCCCCCATGTCCATCCCAGAGGATGAAAGCTGTATTTGCCATCGTCTTTGTTCTGTTTTTGCCTTCAGTGTGAGCTTGTCTCTGACTGTGCACCAGTCCTTTATCAGAGTGTGTCCTGGCTCATTTTCCTTTCCATTTTCCTGTCCAGTGGACATGTCCTGGCTTCAGACACTGAGAACAAATGACAAGGAAGACCAGAGATATGAACCAGCTTCCTCAATATCAGCAAATAAATAGCTTGGTGGTCCTCAGCCTGTGAGGCTGGGAGGAGATGGAGGTTTGTTGGAGCCTGAGTGGAGGGAAAAGTTGCAACCATTTCAGACAGTTCCCCACTCGTTCCTTTATGCTACAGACAGAACCCCATGAGCCAGCCCATGGTGGGCTTCTAGCCCTCACAGATCAGGCTGTGCCACAGGAAATCCTTGCCACAGGAAGGTAGAGGTGCTGAAAGTTTCTGTGGGATCAAGGGATCATAAAGCATGTTCAGAGAAGATAAATCCGTGAATGGCTATGCATGCAATATGTCCAAAGGCTTTGCCTTGGGTTCAAGGGGTCCCAAGTGGACTGCAAGCTACTCCTCTGGACCAACTCCAACAGGCTGGTGTTCCCTATGCTGGGACCCCAGAGCTGGATGCAGGGTTCCAGGTGGGGTCTCACCAGGGCAGAGCAGAGCAGAGCAGAGCAGAGCAGAGCAGAGCAGAGCAGAGCAGAGGGGCAGAATCCCCTCCTTCAGCCTGCTGGCCACGGATCCAGCCCAGAACATGTTTGGTTTTCTGGGCTGTGAGTGCCCATGGCTGGGTCATGTCCAGCCTCTCCTCCCCCAGCACCCTCAAATCCTCAGCAAGCTGCTCCCAATCTGTTCACTCTCCAGCCTGTGTTGATACCAGGGGTTGCCCCAGCCCTGGTGCATAACCTTGCACCTGGTCTTGTTAAACCACACGGAGCTCCCCTGGTCCTGCCTTTCGGGCTTGTCCAGCTCCCTTCCAGCTTCCTCTGGATGGCATCCCATCCTTCATCCCTCCCATGTGTGAGCCATACCACTCAGCTTGGTGTCATCTGCAAACTTGCTGAGGGGGCACTCAATCCCTTCATCTGTGTCATTACCGAAGGGGTAACACTGGTCCCAGTGCAGACCCCTGAGTGACACACTTGTCATTGGTGTCCATCAGGACTCCAAGCTGTTGATCACTCCCCTGTGGAAGAGATCATCTCACTACTGCCCTATCTTCCTAACAGTCCATCCAGTGAATCCATCTCTCCCCAATTCAGAGAGAAGGATGTTGTGGGGGACCGGGTCACAGGCTTTATGGAAGTCAAGATAAATGACATCTGTATCTCTTCCCTTGGCCACTGATGTGGTGGTTACCTCATTGGAGGGGTCCAGGAGATTGGTCAGGCAGAACTTGCCCTTGCTGAGGCCATGCTGGCTGTCCTGAACCACCTCCCTGTCCTCCATGTGCCTTAGCAGAGTTTCTAGGAGGATCTGTTCCGTGATTATATTGCTATTAAACTTTAGTTATAACAATGTTTATAGAATTTCTTGTTTTTCTGTAATGCTCAGTGACTTTCCTGAGGTTGCTGAGGCTGACTGACATCCATCAACAAAGTTACAGCACACTTTAATACCTCAGAACCTCGTAGGACACACTACCTTCCTGGGCTGGACAGGAATGAATGAGAGAATATTCAGATGTCAGTGACAGCAGGATGTGATTCCAAGTCCTGCCCAACCCCAGAGTACCTCAGTCCTTATGGGATTTCAGTGATCCCTGGAAGACCTGAAATGCAATGTGGGCAAGAGACACAGCTAATGAGGGAACCTCTCTGTGGCACCAGCTCCATTGTCATGAGCACTATCTCCAAAAGTGCTGATTTATTTTCTCTGCTGTATATGATGCATGAAGAAGGGAGCTGAAAATCTATTTTAATGCCAGTGAGTGGTGTCAGGTGAATATGAGCTGACATAGGAAACCAGAAAATTAGAGCAGTTTCCCTTGACCCAATATTAGCAAAGGGTTTTCTGCAAGCTGTGATAGATGTAGATCCTCAACCATTGATTTCTTTTGGTACCTGTCCACAAATATTATGATAAAGCGTTGGTTTTCTGAGGTTTTTTTTTTTTTTTTTAAAAAAGCTGAGTTGCTGCAGCAATGTGAAATAATGGTGATGTAGTTTTCTATGAGATACTTAAGTACCATGACACACAGAGCATTAGAATTCGTCATGCTTGTTATTGTCCTTTAACAAATGACTTTATGCCAAGCAGTCAAAGCTTGGGACTACAAATGCAGCTGCACAGAGGTAGCCACACATCATCTTCTGTGCAAGGGGCCTGATTTCATCATAAAATAGGGACCACGTAAATGAAGTTTTCCATGAAGCAGATAGGGGATGTGGACTAAACACTGAATTCAGGAGAGGATTGCAAATACAAATGTGACAGGAGATTAAGAGAAAATGCTTGTCAGTGAAAGGTAATAAATGTGTGTCCAGAACTCACAGAGCTAGGGAAAGCAGAGAGATGGATTTTTGTTTGAGGAGACTCCCTGATGTCCTCATGACACCCCTTCTAAGCCTGACTGAGCTTTAGACTCATGGACTCTGTGCAAACAGGTTCACCTGCACCTGAAGTCCTCTGTTTTCCTCTGACAGCAACACCTTTTCAAAAGACTCAATTGACTGACTTCCAAATATTTTTTCCCTTATTTCAGCCCTGATCATCAATTCTGTTCCGTGGGGTAAATGGCCCTGGATGTACCCTTTTTCTCCTCCCATCCATCTGAATTGTCTGCCCAGGAATTCTTTTAAGTTTCAGCTTTATTTTCCTCTCTCACACCTAGATGATTCAATCATTGAAACACCCAGCCATGAATACATGGTGTCCAGAGAATTGCCAGGGACTCCTTACACAGCCAATAAAATCCCCAGAGTCAGCAGAGTGAGGAGACAAACCCCTTAAGGCACCCCAAGAACTGAAAATGTTGTGTTTGTGGCAGCCAAGACCAAAGAAGTTCATCTGAGAGGCGAGTCTTATCAGCTGAGGCTTGGGGTCGGCATTGGTGAAGGAATCTCTGGACTGCACCTTACTGCATAAATGAGGAGGTTAAGGTGGTCAGATTTTCTGCTTTGAAGTGTACAGGTAAAAGACTTTGGTTCATAGCATGAAGCTGTGTCAAGGGAGGAATAGGTTGGAAGGTTTCTTCCCCCAGAGGACACTGGAATGGGTTCCCCAGGGAAGTGGTCACAGCACCAAGCCTGACAGATCCCAAGAAGCATTCGGACAGTGCTCTCAGGCACATGGTGTGACTCCTGGGGATGGTCCTGTGCAGGGCCAGGAGTTGGACTTGGTGATCTTTGTGGGTCACTTCCAACTCAAGGTGTTCTCAGGATGGTCTTCCAGCAATATTACTAGAATTTGGTTGCTCCTGTAAAACTGACTATGGTGCAGCCATATATGCCTGCTTTCATCATGGCTAAGTTTATTTTTTATATCTGTGAGGGAGTTAAAGCAACCTAAAACTGTACATTTCAAGTGGAGAGTATATTATGGCTGGTGGGTAGGAGATTGCTGAATAGTTTTGTTGAGTCCTTATCCCAGTAGTGGTGCCTGAGGAAGAAGAAATTTATTGGAAAAAAAATTCTTAGTCTCTCAGGAGTGAAGTGGGTAACACCTAAACCTATTACTTGAATTACCTTTTTTTTTTTTAAACTGCCGATAAATCAGGATGCATTTTAAGTCTTATCCTAGCCCAGTTGTTCTCCTCTTCTCCAGCAAAAAGGACTTTTTCAATCAGTCCCACTTATCAGACTCCTTTCTTGTGAAATGCCCCTCCAGTGTTTCACTCAAGATGTTTTTTCTGCTTTTCAGGGCAAAATCCTTTTCTGCCTTCTGTACAGCAGTGGAAACTGCTCTCCATGCTTGTTTCCTGATCTAGCCTTGCTGCCACTTTCTCATTTCATCATACAACCAGTGGGGAATATTTGTCAAGGCATGTAATCATTGGATTGCAGGTGGTGAAATGCACTGTCTTTAAGTCCTCTAAAATATGTCCATAAGCAGCAGATGCAATGAGATGTGGTTTCCTAAGGAGCTGTCTGGAGATTGAACTCTCTGTTTAGTAAAGGCTGTATTGGCCCTGCTGTTGTCCCCACAGTGAAGTGATCAATAATGCTTGTTTTCATTACTCAGTGACTTTTATCTGTTAATTATACAGGAACTTCAGATTTTCCAAATCTTTCCCACTCTTACAGCTGGACATCAGCTTCAAGTGTGATTGCTGAAGTGACTGCTTGTGGCAGAACCACAGACATACTATCAGGAAGCTTAGTAGTGAATCTAGTTTCCTTAGGAAATAAGTAAAAATTTTCAGTAAAATTGTGCTTTTTGGCTTGCTCAGACAGGGTAGGTGGCAGGACTAACAAGGTGCTGATTATTAGTGCACTGGGTAACAGTTTATACTCTTGTCTCATCCTGGCTTGAGGAACAAACCTTCAGCTTTTCCTGGTGGTAAAGCCACAGAAGGAGAGCAAAGTGGAACAGATCTTTGTTTCCTCCATCCCTCCTTGGTCTGCCAATAAATAACAACATCAAAAAAAGGACCAGCAACACATTAAGCAGAATCTTTGTGAACTATATCAAACATCACCAACAAAATATTTTAAATGCCTGTGTCCAAGAGACTCTGGCATGTTCCTAGGAAGTGTTCCAATCCCAAAGAGATTTTGGTGAAAAATTGGGACCACCTGCATTGTGGATATTTCTGGGCAAGCTCCTGTATTTCCACAGGTATCACTTTCACAGAGCAGAATTGCAAAGCAAACTCTTGAGTCCCTGGTGATGTACATAATCACATTGCTGGTACTGTGATCTGCCAGGAGCATCAGTGCCAGCCCCAACACTGGACTTTATCTCTGGGTGGTATGGCTTGCAAGAGGAAATGCTCTTTGGATCCTCTTACCGTGGTAAGCACCACAGACTTGGATGAGCTGAAAGTGCTTTTTTTTTTTTAAATGTTCACTGAATGTATCCATATTAAGAACAAAAACTATTGCCTTCCAGGATTAAAAAAAAAGGTATATCTAGTGTGATATCCTATTCCTGAGAGGGCTTACAGAGGGTAATGTGAAAATACTGGATGAACAGGAAAAATGTACAGGAATGCAACAAAAAATTGCGGGTCAGATATTTCCTAGCTCAGATGTGTTGTCAGATGTGTATGTTTAACATCCCTCAATGGATTTTGCTTTCAAGTAGCCACCCCCCTCCTTTTTGAACCATGTAGAAATTAATATCCACAGCCTCCTTAGGCATGTGGTGAACACTATTTACATGCGTTTGTTTTGAACCTGCAAGCTTTGCTTTATGTCCTTTGCTTCTTATCCTGGGAGGAACTAATCAACCCCTACTCCTTACAAAGACATTTGTTTGTTCCCTTGTTGGTCTTCCAGGTTTTTCTGTTTTCCTACTTATCTCCTTGTATTCAGCATTGCTGATTTTAGATTAAAGGCAACAAATCATCACAGGATAACTTGCCTTTTATCATGGATTCCCAAAGAGCAGAGCAGGATCCTCCGAATCCAAGTGTGCCCAGCAATGACACTTCTCCCATGTATCTTCTCAGCAGAAGGAGCTCTGCAAATCAGAGTTGCTCACACTTGGACTAAGACAACCCTCTTTAAAACATTGCTGTGGCACTTTGCAGAGGTGGTTCTAAACGCATCACTCCCTGCCTTGTGTGATGTTTGTGTGATGTTTGTGTGATTTCCAGGGATATGAGGGGAAATAATTTATACTGAGACTCTTCAATCAGCAATAAAAACCTATTATACAGCTGGAATACTTGGCTGGTGTTCCTGGTGCAGATGACAAGTTAAGAACATCTGTGTTGCAACATGAGAAATATAATCAGACTGTCTGGTGAGGATGGTTGAGGTGCAGTCGTTTACAGAAAGTAGGGCAGCCTCGTTTGCACAGGAGGCTGCTTGCTGCTTTCCATACCTTGGGATGCCAAGGAAAAGTCTCTGCTTCACAGAGGCACTGAACCATGGAGCAGCTTCACCAGGCCCTCTGAAAGGGCACCAGACTCACGATGCTGTGACTTTGATTTAGTGAATTCTTAATTGTGTAGAAGAGCAGATTTGTTTTTACACAGAATCTGCTAAGCTGTGAAACTGTTTTCAATTGCTTGTATGAATAAAAAAAATAGGAAGGACTAGCAAGTGGGTGGAACAGCTGGGTACCTGGACTTTGGAAGTACTGGAAAAAACTGCCTGCTGCTTCCTTCTCTGCCTGTTGCTGCACAGATTGAATCTGAAGTCAGGATTTAAACAGTGAAATCCCTAGCTGGTGTCAAGTCTGACAGCCTGCTGCACACTGTCTTGCTCTGATGCATCTGAACTCCCCTCGCTAGCAGCTCCAGAGGCAGAAGAGCCGCCCCTGGGAAGCCTCTCCTCTGTAATTCAAAGTGTGGCCTGGTAGTGGGAACACTGCTCACCCCCTGCATTCAGCAGGGTGTGGGCAGGGAGAGGCGTCCGTGGGCAGCGGAGCAGGGCTCCTGCCTGGAAGCTCCCCGTGTGACTGCGGCGCCGACTGGCAGCAGCTGAGGAACGCTCGGATGCTATTTCTGGGATATCTCCTCAGAGCAGGCTGTGTGTTCAACAGCTTCTCAGCAGTCAGAGCTCACATCCAGGGCTGGAGCAGGGATGTAGGATGGACAGCAATTTTCCCTGCTAGCATCTTGTGGTCTCAATCTGGACAGGGCTGGTTTTTGATCCCCATGTTCAATCCCACTTGTGCTCTCTGGGCATTCCCTTAAGGGCAGCCACCTGGGGATGCAGGTTTGGGTGTGTATTTCTCACAGAACAGCCTTCTGAGGTTGAGTATTTGTAGCTGCTCCCAGTCTTTGGGATGTGAACATGTCACACAGATGTACAAAGTTCCTGTGTTACCCATCCCATAAACCTCTGCTCCCTTAGAAAGGTGGGTGTCTTTTCCATTTGTTTTCTGTAAATGAAGCTACATCTTGTTGGTCATACAACTAAAAAGAAGATATTGGAAACTCCTCAGGGCACAGTCTGTCTGTATTGGTGCCTATTATAGCTCACACACATCCCTGAGAGGCAATGCCTCATAATTAATCTCTAAATAATTAATAATAAGAAGAAGCAGTTACTAGTCAGGAAGTAATTAACCTGCTTATGCTTACAGGGAAGTCCTATGCAAGGAAAGAGTAATTAAAGGCTTTTTGAATGACACAGAAAAATCCCCACTGACCTCTGCCAGGACAAGTTTAGGAAGTGGGTCCAGTAGGATTTCCTTGGTTATCAAATAAAAATAACTTTGTAAAATTTCCTAAGCTGGTATTTTTCCTAATCTGGTATACATTTGTCTGTACCAGTGTTCAGCCTGGCTGAATTATTGGGTGAGTAATTTAATTTGCATTTAGCTTAATTTTTGACAGTATGAAATGGTTAGTTATAAGATATGTTGGAATTTTCCTCGGAAAGCAAGCAGGTGGCTAACTCACATCAAAGTAGGGTTTTCACTATTTCATTCAGGCAGTATCATCCAATGGACAAAAGTCCTGAATGGCAAGATTAGTTTGCAAGAGGGACCTTTATGTGCCATGATCCATCCACAAAGGCACAGACAGCATCTAGCATCTCTTTTTGTTCATAGCTGAGAGAGACTTATACAGTCATTGCCCTGTTCCTTCAGATGAATTCACACAGTCCTGTGAAGATGAGAATTTTCTGGGACTTTGGAGCTGGCATGGCTGAGAGAGCTGAAGGCATCAGATGAGTGTATCAGAACACACAAATACTTGATATCACTGCATCAAGGTAAGCCATGCAACTTTTGATTCATAACTTCGTTGGTCTCTTCTTGCAAATGAAGACAAAATAAAAGACACGGCCTTCTCAAACCGTTGCAAGGTATTTTTAAATCAGGGCGAATTAGAGTTCTGAATTCCATCATTCCCAACAGAGTTCATAACAGGCCTCCTCCAAAGATGCACATCTCAGTAGTGTCTTGATGCACTGATAACTGATAATGAACACCTCCTGGCTTTTGGGATTCACCAATGTCCTTTACAAGCCCTTCAATGTTTCTTTATCTTCTCATTATACAGGCCATTCCTCTCTCCTGAGAGCAGGTAAAGGGGGTTACATTATGCTGCTTTTGTCAAACGCATGACAGAGAGTATGAGAAAATGTCAGTCATTTTGGTTCTGTCTTTGGGGCCCTGAGGAAGTTCTGTCTCTCAAGAAATTTCCTGTTTTGTTAACTCAGATGTATTTGGCAAACTTAGAGCTTGATACTCTGTAGCGCAGTGGAAAATGAAATTACCTTTTATTCTCTTGAAGCCACTTTTGAAGGGATATTTTGCATGGCATGACTTTACCAGTTCGGATAATCCACTTTACCAGTATTCCTGTCCCTGGTACTTGGCCCTGGATAAGTCATACTAGATGTCCTTGGGAAGGTGGGTGTCCCAGGGCTATGCTGTATCCCTGGGGCAGTTCTGGGGAAGCCCATTTGGTCCCTCTGCTCCCTGTCCCCCTTCACCAGTGCAGCTAAACCAGCAGCTCGAGGCTTAGCCCTGACAGAACTCCTGGTCCCAGCCCAGTGCTCTCAACCCCTGGCCTGGCACAGGGAATCTCAGACAGACTTTGTCTCTTCACATCTGGGAGACCAGGGAGTCTCCCAGCCCTAGCTTTCCTCCACCACAGTGCCTTCTCCTTTGAGGAGCAGCTGCATGGATCTTCAGTGGCTGTGAAGGCATGGCAGAAACTCCCAGGAGAATTAAGTTCTCCTTTTTGATGGCATTCCTAATCTGGCCAAGTAGCTCACTGCTCTGGAAAGGACAGCTGTCTCCTGCCCCTTCCCCTTGGGCTTTTCTGCTTTTCTGCTTTTCTGCTGCTTTTCTGCCAGCTCCTTTGCATTGATTGATCCATGATGCAACCACTCATGGGATGGAGTGATAGCAAACACACCCCCATGCCCCTGGAAAGATTAATTTTCCAGTTGTGTTATCCCTGTGCAACTGCACAGTCTCTGGGCTCAGTGCAAGGCGATGGAAGACACAAGGGAGAGAGTGGGACTCTAAAACAGCCCACAGAGGGCTGCTGATCCTACTGAACACCAGCTGGACATTTGCTCTCCTCTGATTTATGCACTTGGGAAGGTCCTCACCTGGAGCCAGCTTTCCCCAAGGTCATCTCAGATAGGGAGGAGCATCCCAGGGGAGTCTTGTTAGCTGATCTAGGAGCTGCTCTTCCCTGTTGGGGCTGGGAGCAGGGAGAAACCAACACAGTCCCTCTGCAGTGCAAGGGGAGCACTCACAGCTACAGGATCTCCCACAGAAATGCTGCTCTCTGCCTAGACATCACTCCTGTTCCCATCCCCAGGAGCACAGGCTGGTTAAGGCGCATCTACTGACAGTACAGTATTGCTACGTCAGTGTGACAAGTACAGAGCTCTTGTGTACTAAATATTAGTACTACATATGGATTTGACCAATCTGGGTGGGTTAGGAGTCATAGAATTGCAAAAGAAGTCACTGGAATGTCCCTTGTCACTGGATGGCATCCAAAGGGCTTAAACGAGAGGCAGAAGAAGGTAAGAGAAGGAAAAACAGCCTCCAGTGGAGGAGGTGAGAGTTCAGGTGGCAGTGACGGGATAGGTTTTCCCTTAGGGAAAAGCAGTTCAGGATATTTCCTTCCTGCTGGCACCTGTCCTGCAGTGCCTCAGCACTTCTCTCCAGCCAGGCTGGAAACCCAACCACTGAATTACCTGCATGACAAGAAAACAAAACCCTACAAACCTGCAATGCCACAGGCACTGCTGCACAGCAGCAGAGTCCTTGGAGTGCTGACAAACATCCTGGGCCACTAACATCTCATGGACAGGCATCCATGGCCACTAACATCTCATGGACAGGCATCCATGGCCACTAACATCTCATGCCACCATGTCCCTGGGTCCAGAGCCTGGGCTTAGGGCAGTTGCTTGGAGCATCAGCTGGTTGTGTGTTTGATCCCTGTACAGGCCACTCACTAAACAGCTGGACTTGATGATCCTTGTGGGTCCCTTCCAACTCTGTTCTGTGAGTTATCTGGTGCCAGATCCTTCAGAGCCTTCCTGCTGAGTTTGGTGAACCCAAAGCTCCTCTTGCGTGCAAAGAATTTGCAGGATCTAGCACGCAGTTTGAACTCAGGTGCTGGATGAGGGATCAACATTATTAAATTTTGGCCTATAACTCTATGAAAGCTCTTAAAAAATATCTTTCACCTGCAGGGCACTGATGCTTCAGTCCCTTGATGCTGAGGCCTGCCTGTTTTGGGATGTCAGGGACCTGTGCTCCCCCAGGCACACACCTGGGGACAGCAGCAGCCACTGCAATTGGTAGGAGAAAATCTTGGTTTGAGCCTCCAGTTCCCACCCCTACTATACAATTTAATGTTTTGTTCTGACTTAAGACATTATTGCATAAATGCTCTACCTCTGCCCTAAGGGGGTGTTTTAGAGTGTTTTGATTCCTTTATGTTGTTTTCTTTTCATTCTGTATGTCAAACTGAGCAGCTGAGAGCCTAATGCAGATGCTAGGAAGATGGAAAGGTCCCAGCATCACCATGACACAACTCTCCCTGCAGCAGAAAGTGGCTGAGAAGGTGAATTTTGTGTGGAGAGAAGCAGGAATATTCTGTATTTTCAGCAAGAAATCTCAAGCAAGACTGCAATGACAAGGGCCTGAGGCATACAGCAAAAACATCAGTGGTAGATCTCAATGAAAACAGGCATCAGCCCCATGCTTTACTTGGGGAATCATTTTCCAGCCCCACTCAGAGTAAATTTTCCCCTTTTCTCTACCCCTCAACAAATATGCTAACCCTATTCCCGGCCTCCAAGTAACCAACTCAGCCTCTCAACAATAAAAGACTCTCTATGCCTGACTATTTTTGCCACCCTCAGGATGCTGTGGCAGTCCCTGTCCATCCCCACACCAAAGATAGCTCTGAGCTTTTTCCTTCTCTCCCTCAGCCCTAACCACTGACTTCTCAATCCTGGCCAGTGACTGACTCCTAAGACAGAGTCCCCACTGCCCAGATACTCAGTATTCCTCAGAGATGGATTCTGCTATTAGCTTTCAGTTTCCTTGGGCAGTTTCTTTCAGCCCCACTACACATGTCCAGTGGGCTGGAGGTTTCAGCTTTTCCTTTCCATCAGCCCTCACCCTAGCCTGACACTCAGCAGAAGGTGCTGCTTGCAGCTTCCATTCTCTTTCAGTGTGCTCCTCCTAGCCCCTATCTCACCATAGCCATGGGCTTTCTCTTCTCCTGTCCTTTAGGGAGCATCCCTGCATTCCTGGAGACAGAATTCCAGGTGTGGCCTCACCAGTGCTAAGCAAAGAAGGGCCATGTCCCTTCACTCAATGGAAACTCTTCCTAACACAGCTCCCTACTGTTAGTTGAAGTTTCTGCCTTTCCTTTGGCAGATCCTTTCCAGCCCTTTTCCAGCTGTAACTCTGCAGAGATGGGATTTATTCAGCCTCAATCAGAAAAGGCAGAAGGAGAACTTCATTGCTGTTTGCAGCTGTCCAATGAGAGGGTGTAGAGAAGATGGAGCCAGGCTCTTCCCAGAGGCACAAAGTGACAGGACAAGAGGCCACAAGATGCCATCTGGGACTTGGAAAACTCCAGATAGATCTTAAGGGAGCAAGCATCACAACAAGGTTGGTTAAACACTGGAAGACATGTCCAGGGAACCATCAGGCTCTCCGTCCTCAAAGATGCTAAAAATTCAGCTTGCTGAAGCTCTGAGTAGCCTGACCTGGTTTTAAAGCTGTCTGAGCTTGAGCAGGGAGGTTGGGCCAGAGGCCAACCAGAGATCCCTTTCTACCTGAGTTACTGTCCAATCCTGCTCCTGTGAAACTCAGCCTTTGTAAATTCGGAGCCTAATCTGATAACCTTGATGAGAGGAAGGTGTTATGTCTTTAGAAGTAGATTTAGACTTTGTAAAGCCTACTCTGCTTTGGGCAGCAGTTTCATGGGACCAACACACAGCTTCCCAGCACCTATGGACAGTAGGAAATAATTGTAGCTGACCAAAAATTTCCTTCACATTGATTTTCAGGATTAGGACAGATGTCCAAATTTATGCCTTGCCTATCCTGTGCAGTTTAAAGGAAATTGGGAACTCGGGCCCTTTAGAAAGACTCTGGAGTGGTAATGGCAAGGGGAAGGAATTTAATGCCTGGAGGTGAAAGTTGGGAAAGTCCCAAATGACTCAGTTTCTGCTGCCCTTTTCACTGAGTGAAGAGCAAAAGCCCTTCCTGTGTTCACCTCCTCTTCTCTCACCCATAAACGAATTAAAATCTCCTCAATATTGCCCATTTTGACTGGAAGCATTGGATAGCTGCTTCCTCAAATTTTTCTGCCTGCAATAGACTTGACATTGTCACTGACATTTTATCCCTTTTACAAAGTGGCTCCAGAGTGCCTCAGCATCGGGAGTTTTTCCTCCTTTTCTCCCCTTTCTTTTCCTCTTCCCTGCCTAAAAAGCTGTTGGAAAGCAAAGGAGGGATTAAAAGGAGAGATCCTCACTGTGGCAGCAGGGAGGGGCTGCTGCCCCTGGCTCAGTGCAGTGTTAGATTAGGGCAGACTCACTCTGGCATCGTGGTGAGCTCCAACAGCTCACTCAGATATTTCCCCAGAGAGGAAAGCCTTTGCTTTCCCTCTGAATCCATCCATCACCAGGCAGAGCACACTCATCAAAAGTGTGGAATCTGGCATAGCTGCAGGATCATTATAAGGGTTTAAAAGAGAACATTTCACCACCCTATATATCTTGTCAGACAACACCTGACAGGTCAGCTGGGGAAGGGACTGCACTTCCCAGCTGAAGCACTGGCTTGAGAAAGTGTCATCTACAGGCACAGGTCAGCTCAATCCAATCCCCCTGAGCTGGGAAACCCAGAAACCCAGAGCTAACATAGCATTTACAGCATCTGCCCAAGTTTCTGTGGTTTATGTCTCTGTCATAACAGTGGTGACCCTGTTATATGTGCATGTGACTTTGTCCAGTCCTTATCTCAATCCACTCATCCTGCTGGTGCTAAAGGCAATGAGATCCACAGTGCGGTGAAGCTTATCCCATGAAAATAGATATTTATGAATAATAAAAATTAAAACTGTTCAGAAACTTTGAAGATACTGAAATTGAGATGTTTAGTTAAGGCAAGGAAAATTCTGTATACTCCCATTTCGTTTTTGCCAAAAAAAGAAAAACAAAAAGAAAAACAAAACCACAAATGTTAGAAAATCAGGAATATCTCCTTTTCAGCAATAAAGCCCTAGAGAGTTAATGTTATCAAGCAAACTGGAAGTAAAACCAAATTCCACATTACTTACAATGCACTGTTTCTATCAATACACAGCTGAGATTAATTCAGGTGTGCCTGGTTTCAGTGTAGCCTGTACTTTGTTCTGCTGTCAATGCTTTCTCAAAGTAGCAGGCCAAAGTTAAAAATCAGATTGCAGGCTGTTTGAGTTGTCTGTTGAAGCTAATTCATCACAGTAAAAAAATGGTTATGAAGTATTAGCAGCTACTGCAGCTTCCCTCACTTTCTCTTTCTTTCTTTTATTGCCTGCATAAAGAAGACCAATTGCTGTCAATAGCCAAAAAAACCCAAAAAACACAACTTGTTTTCTATGACATTAAACAAATTCTCTCACTACCACAGCATATAAATGCCTTGAAGGTGAGAGAGAGTGAAAAAGAAGAAGAAGAAGAAGAAGAAAGAAAAAAAAACCTAAGAAGGAAAGCAACCTCTAGGGAAGGTTCTACAGGGAAAGTGAAACCAGTAACAGAAAAGAGGGGATGAGAGATGGTGAGAAAGGCTGTTCCTGAGTCGGTGTCCCAGCCCCAGCACCCATGCACTCACCTGGACCCCTGCCCACACCACGGGTGGCACCACAGCTTCCTTCAGCCATGCGTGGTGTCACTCTCCTTTGCCTCCAGAACAACAGAGGGCCCTGGTATTGCGCTGTTTTCTCACTAATTTCATTTCCAACAGCACCAAGAAAACTCATACCCAGGGATGTGGTGGAGCCAAAGACATCAAAACTATTCTCTCTTAAGCTTTCAGAGTAGAGGCTGGAAGCAGGTAATAGAGAAGCATCCTCTTTATTCCCCATGTCTTTAAATGTAAGAAGGAATGGTCTTGCTGAGGATTTTGTCATAGGGTACATGATGGAGAGGGGGAGAGAGGAGGGCGTAGGAGTTTTGAAAGTAGCAAGGGAGAAATATGCAAAGATTTTTGGAGCTTCCTGTCCAAAACTGGTTTAAACTTCTATTTCATCACTTTGAAAATCAGCAGTGTTGGGCTTGATGCATCCTCTGGAAGCAATTGTCATTGGGACATCCCCTGGAATGCAGACAACAAGCACAGTGGGACTGCAGCACTCTATGCATTTATAGACAAGGGCCTAGCATGGCATGGTGCCACAGAAACTAATTATACCCAGTGTTCATGAAGTGATGAGAAGAGGTAGAAGTATAATTATCAGTTTTCCAGCATGGCTGCTGTATGCAGTAAGTATGGCAGAGTTGACATCTTAGTGGAGGCAAATGAGTAAAATATCTTTTTATTTCACCAGTACAATTTTTTAACTTTTACTACTGTTTGAAATCCTGATGTTCTCAGCAGAAGTGATGGCCTGGAAAATTTTTCTTCTGCCTGATTTTTTCCCTAATCATCTGTGGACAATTAATTGCCACCTATTAGCATCCCAGCCCTTGTTAAAATAGGCCTCCTTTTTTTTTTGTTTTTTTTTTCTAACCAGAGTTATAAGAAAAGATCATTTCAGCATAGTGTGGTGGACTTGTCATAAACATTTAAGATGTGCCAAAGTGTCATATTTTCTAGGCAGTATAATAGCATTCCATTTATTGTTTCCCAAGGACTAAACATGGAAATGAATGGCTTTATGAAGAAGGTAGTCTTCTAGTGAAATTGCTTGATTCCATTCTTCCACCATCAGGCTCCTCAGCAAAATAATTTCCCTTTAATTAAGCTATATGATGTAAATATCATGGCAATTGATTTAATAAAAATATATGATGCAAAATAACATGAGGAAAAACACCTTAAAGAAAAGCAGAAGGATTCCCTGAGCAGAGCAGGTAATGGGAAAACTACTGGAAATGAGGTAAGAAAAACAATAAAAGGGAAGCTTTTATAGATTTTTTTCACCATTTCTCTTTTTGTAACAGTTGGATGGATGTATCCCTTGCTACCTTCCTCATTTTCTACTGTAAAAGATGTCTGAGAAGCTGTAATTTTTTCTCTCTTCTACCCAATTATTAATCTATTTTTTAAATTAATAATACAACCAGTTCTGATGTTAATGTGTTCTGGAGTAAGTACACATACTTTTCTGACCTACTTTTTAATCTATGTATTTGCCTTTCAAGTGAGAGAGGTTTTCTGTCTCTTGTCCAAACCCTCGTGCTAATACCCTTGTGCCCTGTTGCACAAGTGCTACTGCTAATGTTTATGTTCTGGAAAACCAGTGGGACAATGTAAAGGCAAAATATCCTCTGCCTGCACTCACTTCAAATCCTGTTTGTTTACAGTGTGGAGGTGGCAAGGACATCCAGCTGTGAACATTCATAACACAGTATGGTGCAATATTTTGGGACATCCTTAGGAAAATGTATCTCTCTGTAGCCCATCTTTTCTCTCTGTCCTGGCCTCCCCAGGAGCCATGGAAAGGCAGCTTCCTGGCTGTCATTTACCGTCATCCATCCCTTTATGGTGCAGATGATCCCCAGAAGTTACTGCTGCAGAAAGCAGGATTTCCATCCGTGCTATCTCTGCCCAGGGATGTTGACGGGAGGAAAGCTGTTAAGTGGTCCATATGGACCAGCTGGACAGAGGATATGGAGTCACAGCTAAATGATAAACTCTTGGAAATTACTGAAAAGTTGCAAGAACATGAGAAAGACTGCAAGGAGAGGGAAGGTACCCAGAGAGTGCTGTGAAAATGTTGAGAGTAGCAAAGCTTGGGCAAACTTTGGCAGCCCAGATCCAGAAAAACTTGATTTTCACATGGGTGCTTGACTCTTCTTGAGAGCACTGCTAGCTGGATAAGAGCTCTTATGGTTTCAAGGACTCAACATGTGTCTGAGGTAGCATCAGGCAGTCTGATTTTAGTGTGATTAGTTGCAGCTCTCATGTCTGCAAAATTAGCCCAACAGCCTCATAAGAACAATTGTTTTGGAAAGAGATAGGATTTTTTCCCAACTTTTCTTTAAGGCAAAAAATCTTTGGATGTCATTCTGTGGATATTGCTTGTTTTGACCTCAGCCAGCATCAGAAAAAAATAAGCTCAAATACAAAATGTTTTCTTTTGGTTTTAGGATTAAATTAAGGGGTTTTTTTAGGACTCCTTTAGAAACAGAAATACATCTCAACTCAGGCTGGGGCCAGAGCTTCAGATTCAGATCTTATTTTAGTTTAATTTTCTTTACTGAACCAAACCATCAGTCTTTCCTGGCAGGCAGTCTACCCCAACTAGAATATTTTCCATAGTGAGTTCCAGATAGCCAGCATACTAATGTCTGCCTTTAAATAAAGAAGAAATACCCTGATGCATTCAATCAAAACAGCAAACAGTGATTTCCAACCAGCCTTTTCCACAGAAGACTAAACCAAGGGGAGAAGCAATCATTGCTTTCTGAAATCAGCCATGTCAGCCCTTGACACAAAGGAGGTTGGTGAAGAAAGGTTAGCTCTGGTGTCACCGTGCCATTAGGTCTGAACGCCTCTGAGAGATCTCTAGTACAGCCTGCCATTCACAGACCCCCAAGGATTTCTTTTTTAAATGAAAGGTTGCAAAAATCTCATTCCCTATTCCAGCGCTGCACACACAACATGTTCCCCTTCCCCCCATCCGTCACAAGCAGCTAATGGGAATCAGGTCCTTAATGGAGGACAATGGCAATTCTGCACAGGTGGGAAGGCATAAAATATTTGCCAGCCAACCAGTCTTGATTCATGGCCAATGAAATATTAATACATGACCTTCATAATTTTCCCTTTCCATTAAAAACCTCAGGACACTGGAAATAAAGTGTTTAAAAACACTTCTGCTTCCTGGTAATCAGTGTTTCAAAGGTAAATAAAAATATATCTGTGCTCCTTGAATTTGTGATCAGAAAGCCTCCTCCAGAGTGAGTCCAGCCTTATTTACCACTGTTCTTTTTAAAGGATTTTGAATGCAACTGAATGTGAGAGATACATAACTGCATATCCAACCAACACTTGCCTCTGAAGAGGAAGAGATAAAAGGTTCTTTCTTCAGCCACACCATTCCTAGATTTTTTACCCAACAGTATTCAAGAAAGCTGTGTATGGTCTAAAAGACTGGAGCTACCCATAACACAAAGGTGGGTTGAATGAAAAACTCAGCAAATGTTCTGTCTTCTCCTGAATGTTGCTGTATGTCAAAGGGTGGAAAGATAGCTGGTTTAGCAGGAATGTTGATTTATTTTGTAGGGTGGGAAGATAGCTCTTTTAACCAGGAATGTAAGCCTTGTCTCTTTTGTATGAATGTAAGTTGTGTCTCTTCAACTGATGCTCGCTATCAAGAATATTTGTATGCACAAAGCTACCTTAGTGCTCAAAGACAACTTCTCTTCACCACTGTCACCAATACCACAGATGACTGAACTGGTTTACAACCAGAATAAATCTTACCTCATGCATTCTTTTTCCATGTGGATGAAGGTAGCTATCTAGAAGAAAAAGGAAATACAGCTTGGGGGCTAGAAACACAAACCACAAATGCCAGAGGTGCATCACTAGTTGCACCACAAGCTTTGGTAAGTAACCTTATTTCCTTGTCTAAACAGACCCCCAACTCCTCTGTAGCTGCTGGACTCAGAATTGCTTATTGCATCATGGCTTTGTGTCTGTGATGTGTGGGGAAATCCTGAAGCAGCTACAGTAAGCAGGAGATTCTGACTCTTGGCTGGAATTTTACCCCAAGCCATCTTTACTTTTCCACTAATGTGTAATTGTTTCTTAAGAGTTAGAAGACACCTGTGCTCACCTGAGGATAGCATACAAATGCTTGACTGTAGTAGTAGTAGTAGTCATGCAGTGTTAGAGATGAAGTGCTGTTAAGAGTTGATATTTGCTTCATATGTGTTAAGCCTGCAGAAGAGAAGACTTGAGGCAGAAAATTACCACAAAAATGGAGATTTTTTTTTTCAGTGCACAGAAATGCTTTGAGTTGCTTTAATTTTAAATCAATTACAATTATAAAGTCATAATTTTAATCACTTTCTTTTCCTTCTTTTTTTCCAGGATAGTAATATTGTTACCCTCTTTTCTGAACCAGGTTATCCTGCTATTACATAGACTGCCCTATGGTTTTGTGTCACTGTGCATCAAAACCAACCATGGACCGGAAAATAAAATCAGAAGGGTGTGAAGGGAGGAAGTGCTGTAGGAAGAAAGAGGTCTATAACAACACCTGACTAAGCATCAAATGTCATCTCAGTCATCAATGCAAGGAGGAAGATCTCTGGAGCTTCTTTTCCAAGCAGTTCAAAGTCCTTTCTTGCTGCTGTCTCTGCAAGGAGCACAGGACAGATGTGTCACTGCTTGGGACAATACAGCTTGTGCCTGCAGTGCTCAGGGCTGTGCCCTTGCCCTGGAGTGGTCAGGACACTCACTCCAAAGTCCTCTCACTAGGCAGCCCCAGTGACTGAGAGACATAAAGATCAGTGCTATGTATGGGGGTGGGGGTTAATCCAAAGTGCTGTAAGTGCCAGAGGTGGCTGTGTCACATACACCTCAGCGGTGCCTGTGTGATGGGCATGAGATTGGTCCCCCAGGACAAGGCAGGAGGCTTCAGGGCCTGCTGAGGACACTGCTTGGCTTGTCCTGGGAGAGAAGAGCTGAATATGATGACATCTGTGGCCACAAGTCTGTGTGTGCTGTTCCCCCATCACTCATGCTCAGATTTCCTCTGGGAGGGAGATGATTGATTTACTCCAGAAGGAATGAACTACCACACAGGCACTGCAGAAAGCAAGGGAAAAAGCTGAGGAGAGAGTAAAGATAATCCCAGCTCAAATCTTTAATTTTATCCTGGGTAGAAATCCCCACAATAAAACAGAGCATTGGTCTCTACACTTACTCTGACTCTGGACACACAAACAGCTCTTAAAAATATAAATTGTCTCCTCTGATTGCATGCCCAAGTGATGGGTCCCTGCAGAAGGAGAGAGCCAAGCCTAAGGGCCCAGTCCAGTCATGTCAACACCAGTGTTTATTTCCTTCATCTCACCAGAAGTGGGAACAGGCTTGTCTATTGATGCTTTAGGCCTTACACCTTTTCCTACTCTGAAAAGACATGGATCACTGCAGAAATCTGCTGCATTCTGCCTCTGGACTGTGGGGAATGGGGTAATATGGGGCAATATGGGGAATGGGGCCTGATATTTGCACACCCCGTCCCTGCAGCTAAGTCTGATACCAGGGCACTAATCTTTGCAGTAAAAGAGCATGTAAAGGAGGAAGGGCCCTTGCCAACCTTTCTCTTCTCTGTAGCTGTATCACTGCTGTAGCACTCAGCAGAATGCTGGGTTCATGAAGGTTTCCCAGACCTTCAAACCCTGATCACCGCTGTAAGTCAGGAAACCAATCTGTGTTGGAAAAGAGCTCAAAGATAATTTTCTCTTCTCAACACAAATCCTCTCACTATGTCTTTGGGCTTTGCATATTGCAAGAAGGAGTTGTGCCTCTGGTACTTTATACTTTCCAAACTGTAACTATAATCCCAACACAAACCCTAATGTTATTTATATAGAGGAGATAACCTCCCTCCCTAAAGGAGCACGTTATTTTACCTCTGCTCACACCAGCTGTCCTTACATTATTGAAAGCCCTACAATGATGAATTAAAGTAAAACTACAGGATCCAAGCCCACCCTATCCTCTATTGGCCTGCCAATAGCCAAGGTACCATTCCCTGTGGGAAAAGAGAAACTATGGCCTTGATCACAGCACTACCAGGATTTTTTTCTGGGATTCTGTGTTGTCTAGAATCAAATTGGCCCTTTGAAAGTGTTGCTGGCCTCACCCTAATTCCAATCCCAAGTGGCAAGAGTACCACAATAAAAATGAAAATAAGGAATTGGTCCCTGATTCCATCTCTCTGCCTGATTTTAGGGATTCTGTAGTATCCTAAAGGAAGTTGAGCATTAGAATGTTACCATATTGCCATAAACACAAATATTATTAACACAATATTACCATAAACACAAATCCCACCTCTGTCCTCCTTGTACCTCAAGAGGTAATGACCTCAGTGAAGGAGAATGTGACACCTACAAACATCATTCTTCTTCCTAAAGCTCTGGGTTCTGATGGTCTCCACAGTAAGTTGGCCTCTTACGGCCATTGTAGGCATGCTCCTTGTGGATGGCGCCAGGGAGTGATCCTGGGGCAAGCGGGTAATTCCTGATCACTCAAATCCATCAGGCTCTAGATTGACCCCAGAATCCCTTCATAGCAGCTGCAACATTTAAAAAAAAAGATGCTCAGACACGTGTGCATGCATATGTACACATTTGTGGTGTTTTTCCTGTTCAAAATGAACATATTAATGACAGAGCTTTTTTGTTTTTTCCAGCCTTCAGAGAATTGGTTTGAGTTCTTTTTGTAAAAGAAAAAGAAAATGTATGCCACTCCCTATCCCTAAAAAGAAAGGTTTAGAGAGCAAAATCTGCTGAATTAAGAGTTTAAGGAGTGTCTCTTTTGGAGGCAGCAAGAGATTTTTCTTTCAGAGTGCCCTCTCTTCGCAGACCAGGAAGATGCTGTTCCCTCGAGGTGCCTGAGTTTCCTCTTGGATGTTCACTCCCAAAGGGAGCTAACATGAATCCAGGATGTGTAATCACTGCAGCTGGGTAAAAGAAGGAGTGACCCAATTTGCCAGTACAGACACATTAGGCAGCTTCTGCCTTAATTACCTACTGGGTGTCTCAGGTTAGATGATGTGACAATTTCCCAGTGATAACAATTATCCTTCTGGACTGTGATTCACTTTTTGGTGGGTTTGTCAAGGCCTCTTGGATAAAATATGCATGAGCACATCTTGCCCATCCTCCACAGCCAGGCCCTTAGCACAGGTTAGCAGGCATCCTGGCACAGATGGCAGCACTGGGAATGTTTTCCATCCCTGCTGCAGCAACGCAGAGGTGGAGAGCTCTCTTGCAAGAGCCCATTAGGCTTATTCTTGGTCCACTTTCTTGACCTGATTTCATCTATATTTTACTGGAAAAGTGTACAAAACAAGCACAGGGCTAAAGCACCACCTTTTAAAAAATTGAGAGATGCAGACAGACAAAATCATGAATGCTGTGGGGTTTTTTTGTTTTTGAGTATTTTTTGTTGTTGTTGTTTGTTTTGTTTTTTGGGTTTGTCGTTTTAGTTTTGGTGGGTTTTTTTGCTTTGTCTAATTTCTGAAGCTGCCTTCAGCCACTTCTGTAAGAAAACTGTTATTAGTTTTAGTAGTATTACAGTAGCAATCAGCTAATGACTTTCAGGAAATAGTTACAGAGATACCCATTTGTCTATGTGTATGTACACATATATGCCATTTATATAAAACATTCTGTCCTCACCTGTAGCCAGTTAGTGTCAGAAGACTGTTTGGATTGTTTGTAAACTCACTTGTACTTGGTGCTAGCATTGATTCCTTGGCTGAATTATTTTGCAATAGGATAAACCCCCTAATTGTGCATCTAAATAAAATTAAATTTTAACGACTTGAATGACTTTTATTTTACCTTGGATGATAATTTATTGACACAAATAGAACTCTTTAATTAAATTTGGCATAGCCAGGTCTGCCGAGGACACATTAAACCCTTTTGCCATGTGATTTTAGTGTTTTGTTGGGTTTTTTTAATATATTTTAGACTGTCCTGATGTTCCTAGATTAAATTGTGTTTATTACAGCCATACACACAGTCAATTATTTTGACTATGCAGTCCTTAAGGATCCCACACAGATTTAGCATAGATCTTCCATGAAGAAGGCCTATTAATTTATAATTTCTCATTAAATACATCAGAGATTGAAATCCACTGTTGTTCTTCTGGAAATAGATATCCTAATTCAGGAGGACAAAGCCTGCGATTTGTAAAAATGGAAGGAAAGCCAGGAGGACACACTGAACATTTATCACCATCTCTCAAGAGTTCAGATCTCAGTAAATCTTGGAAAGTTTAGTAAGAAAAATTTAGTAAGGGAAAAGAAAAAAGTGCAGCATCCCAGTGAGCATTCCCAGTGCTCTTAGGGAAGGTGAAGACTCGCGGTGTCACCTACAGCTCTACAGAGAGCACCTCACCCAGGCAAGGAGATGTCCTGTCTTCTGCAGCAGGCAGAGCAGAGTGATAATCCTTGTTTTTCCCTGTGATGTGCTTCCTGGTGGAGTTCCAGTGGAGGCTTGAACCAGAAAGTAAAGAAAGGTCTGTGAGTTCACACATCCAAGAATGAGGCTGACACAACTGATGGTCTGCTCTGCAGGGCAAAACTGAGAAATCCCCATCAGCACCTCAGATCCCCACTGAGCGCTGCCAACCCACCACAACTCTTGAAGTTCTGTCACTGTCACCAAACAAGCAGACAAAGAACTAAAAGCTCTTCTACTGAAAGATTAGCATATGTCTTCTTGCTAGCCAACAAGTCTGCAAGATCAGGGATGGGGGAGAAAAAGCTTTTCAACTGACTCCTTCATTCTATATTTGAGAGAAGAGGAGAGGGCTTGAATTCTGATTTTGTTGTCGTGCTTCACTCAAAATAATAACACAATTTTTGTTGTTTCCTACATCTACATTATGTTTAGGTCTTATGTTTTTGCATTAAACAAGTACACATTGGTATTACACCAAGATATTTACATTCAGAATACAGGCATAGAGAAAATTGCAGCTAAGACCAGCCAAGAAAAAAGATACATGCAATATCAGAGTAGAAATATTAAGGTTTCCCCCTTTCTAATTTTGCAAACATATTGCTAAAACATTTCAAAAAAGTAGCACACCTGAATTTGTCTATTTGGGTGGTGTTAGGGGGGGAGAGATGAGGAAAAAAGAAAGGGGAGACAGCAACAAAACTGCAAACAAACAGCAAACAAAAATTTCACCCAAAACCGAAGAATGGCTTTGCTGTATCTTGGCTCAGGGAATGGCCTCTTTGGTTTGAAGGATATTGCTCAAGCAGACTAGAAGGTTTGAAAACCTTCTCTGGGTTAAATTGGGCAGTATGATTTGGGACTACTGAAATGGAGAGATTTATTCACAAGTAAATACCTTGGGGTCATTGAGGGTCACTGGTTACTGTCATCTTGAGCCAGGAGCAATCTCCCTTGTTTTCACCCAGTTTATTACTTTGTTTTGAAGCACTTCTTGTGCTGTTCACTGGCCTTCCTTTAGCAATACAGCAGGCAGAAACCACCAAGCAGCTCAAAACAACCTCCTCAGGTTTTCAGAATGCATCTATTAGAGAAGGAAAAAGAACAACTTCCCTCCTTTACCCATCTGGCGCCTGCTCTGCAGGGGTGACAACTGTCAGTGCACAGGCTGACAGGGTACTAAGAGGGTGGCCTTCTTTATGAGGGAGGAATTCATATTTGAATGACTTCAAGAATTTTTATTCCCTTGGTTTCTGCTGTATTTTGAAAAGGGCTGTGTACCTGCATTTGGCAACAGAGACGAGGGAGGCGGCAGGGTGAGGAATGTAGCCATAAACAAGCCAGCTCAAGACAACCCCTTGTTGTGAGCCTTCCTACTTTGACACATGCTCATATATTTTAGACTACAGCATGCTGAATTTGATTGTTTTGGCTGCTCTTGCTCCTGGTTTTTGGCTCCTGTCCTGTCTTCTGGAGCACTGGGAAGAGTCCACCTCCTGCCAAGCTCATGGGCACAGTGCAAGGGAGCTCACCAGCATTGCCTGCCCTCTGAAAATCTAGTCTTCTGCCAGGCACACAGGGGAACTTGGGTCCTAGGCAAGGTGGGAGTGCTGTAAATTCCCAGTGGGTTGGGGGTCAAGGGAGGGAATGGCACAAAATGGATTTGGAAAACAAGGTTGATGCCCAATCCATTGGTTTCTTTAAAGGTACAATTTAAGAACTCAATATTAAGGGGGAGAAGCAGGGTGTAAGCCAAGCTAAACACACTCTTTCCCAAACAGGTGTAGCATAAAGTTCTGGAAAATTTCTGAAGATATCTCATCTATGACACCCAGAACAGATATTTTTTTAACTGTGCACTGGCACTCAGTGGGTGTTTGCCTGCTGGCCTTTCTTTCCTTTTCTCTCTCTCAGATCTGTCTTCTCACACAACTGTCCCTGTGGCCTATAACTCCAAACTCACTGCTGTCAGTCAGGTTCAGCTACTGAGCTGCATCCTGTGCAGAACTCTGCACTTGGAGCAGAGCACAGACAGACAGACTGGAGAAGGTCCAGAAGCCCACTACGAGATAGCAGTTTTGAAGAAGTATTGAACTAACTTGATATGAGGGGTGCATATGAAAATTACATTCAAGAATGTAAGAAAGCTACTGTGGGAGAGGAAGGAAATATAGCCACAGAACCACGGAACTGATGAGATTGGCAGGGACCTCTGGAGATCATCTAAAAGCACCTGCTGTGAGTACAGTCAGCTAAAGAAGGTTGTTCAGGGACATGTCCTATTGTGCTTTGAATATGTCCAAGGACAGAGACAGAACAACCTCTCAGGGAAAGCCTACCAGTCTTAAATCTCCCTTGGAAAGGTTTTGTTCCTATATTTAAGTGGAATTCCTTGTATCTCAGTTTGTTCATGTTTCTTCTTGTCCTGTCATTGTGCATGATAAAGAAGAGTCTGGTTCTGTCTTCCCAGTTGTCTGCCATGTATAAATAACAATCAGGTGTTTATACACATGGAGAAGATCCCTCTGAGCTTTTGCTTCTCCAGGTTGGATGGTTCCATTTCACTCAGCCTGTCCTCATACATCAGATGCTCCCATCCCTTGATCATCTCTGTGGCCCATCCCTGGACTTGCTCCAGGATGCCCACCTGGGAAAGCCAGGTGTAGGTGGAATACTCCAGATATGACTCACCAGGTCTGGGCAGAGGTGAAAGATCACCTCCCTCAACCAGCTGCCACTGCTTTTCTGAAAGCAAACCACAAGGCTTGTGTAAGTTTCCCTTGCGCAAAATCACATTACTGCCCCAAGGTCAAACTGGTATCCACCAGAACTCCCAGGTCCTTTTCTGCAAAGCAGTTTTCCAGCCAGAAATCCCCCAGCTTTTACTGGGGCATAGGGTTATTACTTCCCAGAGGCAGAATTAATACTCTTCCTTTTGCTGAACTGCATGAGATTCCCACCAGACCATTTCTCCAGACTGTCACAGTCCCTCTGGATGCCGGCACAACCCTCTGGTGCCTCAGCTGCTTTTCCAGTTTTGTGTCACCTGCAGGCTGGCTGAGGGTACTGCCTGTCCTGGCGTGGAGCTGATTAATGAAGGTGTTAACCAGAACAGACCAGGCCTGGCACCACGGCTGGGGCTTGCCCCTTCTGGCTGGTCCCCAGTTGTCCTCTCTGCCACTGACTGCAATCCTTCCAGCCTGGCAGCTCAGCCAATGCTCAGTTCATCTCACTGAGCACTTCTCTAGCCTATACTTTGCCAGTTGTTCTGCATATAATCTATCAGCTCTGCAGTGGATAGGAAAAGAAGTCAAATTGCAGAAAGAGACATTGATATTAGACAAAATAAAAGAGTTTTTCCAAAGTTTTACCATGCACTGGGATAGGTTTTGTGAGGAGATTGTAGCTGGAATAGATGATCCAATCCAGGTCATATCCAGAATTTTTTTCTTTCACCCTGAACAAAATTTTCAGAAATAACAACTGTGTGTATTTCTTCCTCAGAATGAGCTAAAGTGGAGCTTGATTAGTGGAATGCTCTCAGGAACTCCTCAGGAAATGGGAGAGAGGTAAAGAAGTGGAAGGACAGTGTGGGTTCAGGGCAGATGTACAGCCTGAGATGGGAATTACCTCAGTCCACACTGACTTCACTTGGGGGTCTGCAGCTTGGGCTTAGACCACTTGCTGTACACATTTTTTTTTTTTTTTGGTCAGATGTGAGATATTCCCATATGCTTTGAGCAGCTTGATCAGCTACTAGAGCATTTCAGCATGTTGATCACTGTTGTTTATTTTCTACATTACACAAGTTTAAAAGAGAAGAACACAGAAACAACCATTATGCTTATCCCCTTGTGAAGAGGATAGAGGCTGGGGCTTGGAAGCAATATCCCTTTCTTTCTTCCCTCACATGGACACAGGAGTGCCCATGCCTCTGGTTCAGCGGAAGTGATTATCAGCAGCAAGAGAAGTTGGAATGTTCAGACTGCCCTGCAGTGAAGGAGGAACTGCTGGTGCCTATAAATAGAAAACCTGTCTCTCTGGGAGTGCTGCTGCAGCTGATGAGGTGGATATAAACAAAGATGGAGCACAGGGTATGTGGTGAAGGCCAACATATCTTTACTCCAGTGCAAGTCCAGTAGACTTCCATCTCCACCTCCACACCCATCATCTGCCTCCTCCCCACTCTGCAAGGCAGGGGTCCTTTCTTCAGACTTAATGCGTTTCCCAGATAGTATTGTGTGGGTTCTGCACCGGCCCACTGTGAGATGGATCCGCACAGCCTTCTCTGCTCACTTTGCAATGGTTTTCCTTGAGGTGGATGTTACACACATCCCCTACAGGCTCACC